ACAGTATTTTGAGTAGATTATTCTGGTTCTCTACCTAATCAAATTATATTTCAAAATTACGAAGAAAATGATTGCAATGATCTGCGGATGTAGGCTTTCTATATGCATTCCTTTTCATGCACTATCGTCTTTCCTTGTTGTTTTGGAGCCTAGGGATTATTATTATATTATTATTGTATCCTTTAATTCCCAGAGGGACATAGGGCTTCAGCCGCACGTCTTCACTGCGTTCGGTCCTCGTCAACGTTTTTACCTGACTCCACGTCTGTCTACATGCTTTCATCTCCTCTCCACATCACCTCCTCCATGTCATTCTTGCACTGTCGACCAACTCACCGTTGTATAATCTCGTTGTGACTATAAAATTAGGCTTGAGCAATTCATTAAACATGTTTTTTCAACCTTTTTATTGATTCATTTGTTTATTCCTCAGTCCTTTCGGATCATCAGAGGCTGAGATTTTCTAGAATTTTTGGTAGTCACTAATTGTACTGTTCGCCTTATCCAAGTATTCCATTTTGGTCACGATTACTATCCCGAAACTCTTTTAGATTTTAGTAATCCCTAAGTGCTTGTTCTTCATAGATTTCCATAAAATTTTTTGAATATTTTGACCAAAGTATTCTCCTAATTTTGTTTACTACTCATCATTCCCTATATTTGTTTATATATATATATATATATGTATACGGCGGCTGTATATCAGGTTTGAGATAAGTCTTCTACCTTGATAAAGGTATCGGGTCTTGCTATATATAAATTGAAATACAGCGCCTGATTAGGATCCAACTGAGAATCAAATATTTTTCAAAAGAATGGATACTGAACAAAGAGTACTCTTTTCGATAAATTCATCATCAGGCTCTACATACATAGGTGAGCAAGTGGACAAGCTGTCGATAAACATTGGCATACATACTGAGATCCTAAAAGAATTGATATTAAGATGTACCATGAATGTAAATTTCAAATTTAACGGCATGCTTTACAGACAAGTGGACGGGGTGGCTATGGACTCGCCATTGGGTCCGATTCTGGCTGATTTCTTTCTAAGTAAGCTAGAAAATGGACCTCTGAACAGCCTTATCAGTAAGCGCTTATTTTATTGGTGATATATGGATGATACCTTTATTCTTTGTGATAATGGTTCTGATAGGAATACAATAATTACTGAATTCAATGAAGTACATTCGGCTATGAAATTCATATGCGAAGAGGAATACCAAAACAGAATTGCCTTCCTGGATGTCCTACTTACAAGAAAACCAGATGGTAGCATAAAAAGAAATTTGCATAAAAAAAGCACTTGGATAGGACAATTTACACATTTTAACAGTTTCGTTCTTCCCAGTACAAAAGAAATTTAGTGAAGACCATCAGCCACAGAGTTAGAGCTATATGCTTAGAAGACGTAATTGAAGATGAATTAAGCATTGTATATGATGCTTTGACCGAAAATGGCTATCCCGGCAAATTTATCAAGAAACAAATGACAAAGAAAACGGAAAAGGAATACTTACTATCTGTAAACAAGAAGCCTCTTTATATACGACTACAATTCATGGGCGATATACCAGGTGAGATAATTGCGAAGAAATTAAGAAAATCAGTTCAAAGAACTTTTAATGCTGACGACCTACACGTATTATCCACTACACGACCGATGGTGATTCCTCGATTGAAAGATGAAGTACCTAGACTAGCCACTTCAAACTGTATCTATCAATTCAACTGAGCTTGTGGAGCGAGTTATATTGGCCGTCGCTCTAGGAACTTGATTTTTCGTGCTCGAGAATATCTCCCAGCACGGCTAAGTAAAGTTGTAGTGAAAACTATTAACAGCTCGATATTGGAACATCTGGTGTAAACCGCCCACAAAGCCAGCCAGCGTGGAAGAATCCTTCTCTATATTGTACTGGGTGCCAAATAAATTGCCGAAAACATCGAAGCACCGCATGCTGCAAACAGCAGTGGCTATTGCGATTCGCCTCAAACAACCGGTGCTCTGTGTTCAAAAGAAGCAAGTCTAGCCCTTACCACTGCCTTGGCGTTCAGTAGAGACTATAAATTCATGAAGTTGTAATATTGTCTTTTCTGATTTTTCTGACATTCAGCTTATTTTATGTTGATGCGGTTCAGCTGTAATCTATCAATATTATTGATTCGATGTTATTGAAACATTAATGCTGTTCATAACACTAATTCATTCATTCACTATAATGTATATATAACTGTAGAGACTGATGAAGTTATCGAAAAGAGTACTCTTTGTTCAGTATCCATTCTTTTGAAAATTTTAATGGGCATTTTTAATCATTGAAAATATTTTTTTCGCCTAAACATAGATTATCGTTATACTGTGTTTGTTTTCGTAATGCTGTGTATCGCTCAATAGTTTATTTCCCTAGCAGTTAATATCTGACCATCATTATGAGTTCTTGATTGATAAAGTATTCCAAGCGCCAATCAAACTGCATGTATTTCATTATAGAGATAATTTATTTAATAAAGTCTCACAGTGTAACACAGTAAATATTACTGTATAACACTGTGAGACTTTATCAAATAAATTTTCTCCATAATAGAATTATACTCTACCAAAGTCCCCAAGTTCTCTTCTTGGGACAATGAATTTATGTATATTAATTAATGTATGCATAATTAATGTTTAACACTATTAAGTAATGATTTCTGTCCCAGAAGCTAGGCGTTTTCACTAACGAGGGAGATTCTGCCGTTTAGCTATGAGCTAACTAGTAAGATAAATTATATAAACCACTTATCCCCAGTAAGAATTTGTCTCTATTTTTGACTTCTTTGAGATGTTAAGGGTTTATTTGGATTTTAATCCTATCCTTTTAGGGGTTAGATTTGCTCATTATTAATCCTTAAGTAGTCATAAATACTGACCTTACAAAGTTGTATAGTTATATCAAGAAACAGTGTTTAGTCGACTGCTTTTACTGCGGTCTTGGTTAAATTACTAATAAATAAGAAAATAAAGTCTAAATAAATATCACAGATGTATTGTCCAACTCATACAGTAAGGTAGATTTTCAAACTGTGCATATGACCAGTAGGGTGCGGCAGGTCGGGTGTGAGGACAAATAATTGCCGAGGATATTGGCTAGCGGTTGTGCTATATCGTGAATTGGCAGAAGTTAGAATTCATGGGCCATTGGATCGGCTCCCAGTAGCTCAATGGTCTACGAGCTCGCCTTGTAACCAGAAGGTCCTGGGTTCGAACCTTGGCGGTGGGTGCGTACTGATGAAGAGTACCAAACTAGGACGAAACAGCTGTTCAATACTCCCAGGTTTTCCAGTGGTTCTCTAACTAATGTCAGCTCATGATGAAATCCCGTAACCAATCATCCAAATCCCTGCAAACCAATACTTGAAAGAATTAAGTGTTAACTACGATGAATTTCATAGAACTATAGGTTTCCAGACCGTAGGTGTTACGAATTTCCTGGAATAATTTGAGCGCCGAGTCAGATTGATTCATTATAAATTATTTAAATTAATCCCAGCGTGTTAAGAAAACCAAAACAAGATTTTTCTGAACGTTTCGCCGTGTAAGCCACAGCTTCTTCAGCAGATTTATTCGGATTATCTTATTTTATTATTATTTTCATAGAACTGTACAACATTTGACTTAAGTAGTAATATAATTTTATGGAGTTTGAAAACAATTTTATAGTCATACTGAAATACAGTTGAAAAGTTAGCAAATTATGTTTGGGTTTAATTTCAGTCATCACAGTCGATCATGTCATAAAAGTTTGAGCTTGAAAAAAACAGGAAATCTTATAGCTATGTTTCACTGAAAATCACACGAGTTCATATAGATCTGAATTTCGGGAGAAATATATATCTTTATACAGCTTGTTTTTGTTGATTTTAATGATAGTTTATCTTGTTTATTTGATGCTTAGTTTTTCAAGAATCAATTCGTATGGATAAGTTAGTCAAAGATTATAAGCGAAATCTGCACTTAATAAAGTTGATTGACAAGTTAAACTTGGCCAAACACGAAAGTCTTAAGTTTCGGTTTCAACTAATTGCTTTTGCAATTACTTTTACAATGATTACTAAGTAGACGTGTATATAAGATGAGATATTTCATTTCACAAATAATATTTAAAGTGTTGTTAGACAATTTAGTTGGCGGCCTGTCTAAATCACTGGGCTACTGGAATTGCTTTCCACCGAAATTCTTAATTTCATCTGGATCTATTTATGATTGTAAATGGGCTCCAGTATCCAATCGGATCAAATGGCGTATGAACTCATATGGGTCACCGGAAACCATGGGAATGAAGCTCCTGACGCTGCTCCGCTGCCTTGCGGATTAGACTCCAAGTCAAAGGCTTGGAGGGGGGTCCCTTAATAAAACCACCTGCTTCGGTCCGGGCGCCCTGGCAGTATCTCAGCCCTCACACAACAAATCAAATGAAGCAACAGCTCAAATCGATGGCTCGAAACGTTATCGGATATGGCCAAGAATCGTAATCAATGGCGAATGCGTTGCAATTTCCTTCTTTCTTCCCTTTCCGATGATAGTTAACGAATACTGTTTAAAATTGTCAAGCATGACTGTTTTCCTTCCAGATGAAGTTCTTTATCCGTTCCTACTTATGTATATTTTTTTTCCTTCTTTCTTTTTTTCTTTTGATCTATGTTGTTTTATTATTATTGTGTGGCGCATCCTTCTTGGTGCCATATTGTACCAAGTTTTTATGCGTTTAAATAAAATAAAACAAGAACTTATATTCTAGCGAATAATGAAGCCCATAGCTACTCTACATGTGAAGCTGAAAAGTACTGGGTTATTAGCTGATATGTCATACTTAAATGTCTCAAATGATGAAGGACTATTGCAATGAGTATCCACTCAGTAGACTATAAAACTATGCAGTTTGACGTATGACGATGAGTTTTAGTCAGCATAAAACATTACGTAATTATTAGCAATTCAGACGTATAAACGAGTGACTTACCAATATGCGAAAAGAACACTTTTCCCAACTCAGTTCCCAGTTTACGTTTTCGTCATTTGCTCTTATTTGCACAGCTGTAGAGAATTAAGTAGAAATGATGTAACATGTGCTCTAAGGGTGGGAAAGGATATCTGAGAGCTGGAAATTTATCACTAAAACACATACTCAATGATGGTAGAACGGTGGCCACTAGATTTCTTTCGAGTCCTATTCTAACTAAGCATAAACAGTTTCCCTCATGATGATGAAGTGGTAATTAATATGATTGTCTAGTCAATTTAGTTTCACCTATTTCAAAGCACTGCTTCACATCGCTGTTGTCCTACTGAACGTACAATGTGCTATCCATTTCTCTAAGGTTATACATGGTTTTTAAATCAATGATGAGACGTATCCGTTGATTAGCGCCAATGTTTAATCAAAACAAGTTTATCAATCATCACTGTTTTGTCATAAGAATTCAGTGACATTCTACTACTGTTATCAGCTAGTTGGCGATCTTTTGCAGAAGTAATAAAAAGCGATCATCTGATAATAAGGAGTAATCTGGATTTATTTACTGCTGGTACAAAGCTACTTTTCATGTAATCAATGAGAGGTGGAAATAAGCAGTCAAGCAGAGGTCTTCACTGAAAGAACAATGTGAACTGTTGTCTAAACATATTTATTCACCAGTTACAATTAACTTACTAAAGATTGACTGATCATAGCATAAATAATTAAAATTTTACTTGCTTTTGTCATGGTTGTGAAATGCTGCTTTTGGTTGACACTCGGAACATAAAATTTAGGTTTTTCTAACCATACTCTAATTCAGCTCTCCTCAATTGTTGGTATAATAAAAAGTTAGGAAATATGTTATTCGTTCGATGGTGGCTATCAGAGGAGTTCAAGACGCACCTTCCATCTTATTTAGTATTCTTTAACCCGGTGTTCCTGTTTCCTGGTAAAAAACGTTGTTTTCAATTAGATGTGACTCCAATAACCACTAGATTACTGAAACAAATCTGGTGTAATAGATGTAGTATGGTTCATTTGTTTGTACTTATTGTTTTCTAATGTCGACTTATTCAGACTGGATATTGCAAGTTCATAAATTTGTTTTAATATTTACGATAAAGACAACAAAGATAAGAATTATGAGGGACTTTAATTAACCACTCACATGTATTTATCATCCCTGTTTGTTGAACGTATCCTCCTTTAATGCATAAAAATTTGTCCACACTTTTAATAAACAGCAAGGGATAATTCATCGTTTCTAAGGTATATGGCCATGTTACAATTAATTGACGGTCTATACTTTCATCAGGCAAATTTTCTCCATGATTCATAGTTACCAACAGTTGAAACTTATTTCTGTCTTTCAATATTTTACCCATAATATTGATAAAACCCTTTAGTGAAAGACAGAAAATAAAGATAAAGTATAATGGAGTTTTAAATGATGTTAACTAATTCTTAAAACTGTAGTGATTTCATTTTCTCAGTCGTTAAGTTCACTTCAGAAATTCTTTTCTAGGCATAAAAGTTGAAACTGTTTTTTAGTGTATCACAATTAAATATCTTAAAAGTACAGGGAAAAATTTGCCAGGTGCAAGAATAAATACTTTGGAATAAGAGGGCAGCCTCTAGTGTTTCCTTAGACAAACGTATTCTGGAACACTATCCAACTTGGTTAGCCAGAGGAGAAAAGAGGGACAGCATCAGCTCTATCCTAGAAAGCCTTGTCATCTCCGGATATCGAGCACCCTGGCAAGAAAGCTTCACAGTGCTACACAGAGTCCGTCGTACAAAGGGACTTCTCATGCGCCATCTGTACAGAACTGAATCATTAGCTATTCGGGATATGAAACTGGACGTCTGAATTCAAAAGCGATACTTATATATTCACTCGCCTTACCGTAACCAGAGTAACGTTCTTATTATAATTCTGCATCTTCTTTTCTATTATGTCAGTTTACTATTATTATTGTTATTACTACTATTATTTTGTTGTGATTATTATTCCCAACATCCATATTTTATTATTACTCTATTACTGTTTATTAGTAGCATTGCTTATTCATACAGATTTTATACAAAACCACTTTATCGCTTTTCCACTAGTTCCTGTCCATTCTACACGAGCTTATTGATTAGTCATTATCTCACACTTATTAGGTCATGCCAACTTCTGTCTCCTTTCTAACTTACAATTAGTCATCCCTTCTAGGTTACACCTTATGTTACATAATACATTTTTCGACGAGAGTGTTTATCAGTATCTGATTGGTCTAATGATTTTTTTTGTTAAATATAATTACGATTGTACAGCTCATGAAAATGAATCATCGAAAAGAAAATTTTATTTGCTGTTTACGCCTTTTTCTTATAACTTAATATGGGAATGTTTCGTTCAAAATGATTAAGATTTTCATATAAGAGCAGGCAAATACAAATTGTGTGAATGTTTATGTATCACTCTGGTAGTTTCATCCATTTTCTGTGTGAGAATAACAGCACAGGTAGTTAGATTAATGATTTTTAATTAATGACCAGGCGTTGGTGGCATAGCGGTTAGGACGCTCGCCGACCATACACACGGTCCGGGGTTCGATTCCCGGCCACCGACGCACTCCTTTACTTCGCTAAGCCAGAGATAATGCTGGTAAAGAGGAAAGGTTGAGCATGAGGCTAGCAGCCCCATCCTTTAAAAATTAAACACCGCTACAGAAACTTCAAGCCACTGGCTTAGGGCCGTATGTTCCACTGGGGAACGTGAAGGAAAAAAAATTAATTACCAACTGTCTTAGAGTGATTTACATTTCGGTTACTCATTCGACCTTTATTAATTCTATTATGAAATGATATGTTGTAGTATACACACCACTGTCAGGTTGGTTGCATTTTTTGTAAAATCCCTACTTCATTTTACCGAATTGTGTCTATTTGAGAAGCTAGTATTATGCTCATTCTGCAGGGTAAAGTTGATGAATTTTATTTGACATAACTTAATGAATGGTTAACAAAACGGAAAGCGGATTCATTTTGTCAATCTGCTTGTTATTTAGTTAGCGTTTTAGTAGTTCTTTTTTATCACTTCCGTCATTTATAAATCAGGCTTCATTTATGATGTAAATACACACGATAAACTTGTAAGATGACAGATATTTTCTGTTTTGTTTCAGTCAAGTTGTTTTTCTTCGGCTGCATTCTAAATTAAGGAAATATCTTCAGGAAAGGACTGTTTATTTCAGTGACATTACCTGATGAAATGAATAAAAAATAATTATTGTTAAAAGGGCTAATGCTTAGTTAGGGACATATGAGAAACATATATATATATATATATACTAGAATGTCATGTATACAATATGTACACTAGGATATATAAAAACAGAAAACAAACTACCTGTTTTAAAATGTTTGACTTTATGTGAATACCAGCATGCTGTGATTTCCCCTCAGTCAAACTTTCTTCATTTTCTGCCACAGAAGTTGAGCTTTTCTGATATATTGTTAATTCTGTTTCGACATTTCTAGGCACTTTATTTTCTAGAAAATTCAGGTAGTTCCACGTAACTGTTTTATTTCTGTACACATAGCTATCATCCATTAATTGTCGGTCTTCAAATGAGTAAAGCATTTGGCGATAAGCCGTTCTGATATGTACAGACTTCTTACATCCTTCAGATATATAGTCAAATGACACTGCACAATCATCGATTGATAAGTCTGGATCGAGTAAGACGGTGATATGTTGTCTAAAACTGTCATTAATTATTGTTAAATTGAACAATCTATGTTTCGTTTTCGTATATAACAAGTATTTTGTTTGATCTTGACCAAGTAATTCATGGTTTGTGTAAGCATGAAAAGTTATATTTTCAAATTTATCCTTATTAACAAAAATGTGAAATTCCGCTGTATATTGCTCACCAAGCGAAGTTATAAAAAGAAGTTTTAAATTGGCACTGGAACTATGTGCATTACTTCGATTGATTTGAGCATATATTGTTGTTTTCACATTTCTGTCACCCTGGTTATCACTGTCTGAAGTGAAATTTACCTGTATAAATGTATCGTTGATCACATTTTCAATAAACCCATGATAATTTAAACTAAATGCTGTTTGTTTTGGGGAAATGTTTTGTCTAGCTAACAATGAGGAGTGTACCGATGGGATGAAATATAAGCTGGAAGACAAACTGACGTTTGCTGATAACATTCGTTGAATTTGCATGATTTTCACTTCACTATGTAAGTGGAATTTGATGATTAGGTTGACTGGGTACTGTCCTTCTGTAACGATATATAGAAAGCATTCTTCATTTACACAAGGAAGTTGGATAGCAGTCTGATTTTCATTATCCTTCCGTTTATCGGGGTAAACGTCTATGCACTTTAACAGATTTGCAATCAATCCCAAAAGGTTTGTTGTTAAATGGATCATTTGTTCAATTATAACTATTAGTGTAAATTTTTCAAATGCATAATTTATCATGATAATTTGATTATTATTCAAGAACACAAGAAAATAAATCTTTTGACCGTTATTTTTAACTTCAACAAGCCAATTTTGATTTTCTGTAAATCCAAGAATTTTATTTATATGCATTTCAGCCACTAAAATAGGTATGATTCTAGAAGCTACAACTTCAAATTTATGATTAATTACTTTGGTTTCTGTGAAGTATAAATCAAATATGATTAAAAAGTTAGAATTGCCTTGTTGATTTTCAAATGAGGCATAAATTTCATTTATTTGATAATCACATAGCAGTGGAAAATTAGAAGTGAAATTAACTTTCAACAGCACTAGTGAATTATTTTGTTTTATTAAATGTGTTAAGTTCAATGACAAGTTGAAGTTGTACTGATCGATTTCTATGTAATTGAACAGTTTGTAGGACAACTGCTGACTAAGTTTAATTGTTTCAGCTGCATGAAATAAAAGACCTAATCTTTTCTTCCCTGAGAATAATGACATATTCATGGAACTACCAGAATTATTCTCATGACTTTGCATCTCTATTAGCATTATATACGAGTTCATAATGTCTAATGAGATCGATGAAATATGCTTCGTTTGTGACAAGGTAGTCTTAAACTCTACTGGCTCATTTATATTTTCCGTATTAACAATGTCGAAGCTATCTACCATCTGCTTGCCGCTGATATTCAGCTTTCTTTCACTACTTGAAACCGTTGTATAGGGTAAAGTTAAGTCAGGTGCTCCAACTTCGATGGATAAGTCTGATCTATTTATAGAACGGTCGTAAAACAAACTGATATTTCGCCATTTACTATTACTATTTGTATTTATTGATTGAAGGCTTAACTTAAAATATGTTGGACAATTTGCAGAATTACCGCTTAAATCCGGAGCGTCAGATGATGATTTCAGTAATGCTGATATCCTCGGTAGCAACGGTTGAATTTCAATTGACCCATTGAAAGATAAACTACAGTCTTCTGGTGAAATATAATTATTTAAACTAACTTTGATAAATTTATAATTTTTAAAATCCACTGGATTGACTGTTATTTGAAAGTCAACGTCTTTCAAGTCTTTAAACTGAAAATAAACATTTAGATAGCCAAGCTGTTCATGACTTATTTTGCTGTAAAGCTCATATAAACTAGGATTCGTAAATAGCTTCAGAGTTCCTATATTTGCATAACAGTCAGCTGATGTCTGATAGTTGTTACACACTTCAAAGAAATACAGTAATTCAACATTGTCGACTTGTTGTTTGGATTGGAAAGAGAAATTTCGAATACTATAATTAATATCATAATGTGGAATTACAAGAATTCCACTTAGATGACATGTTTTAACACTGTAATCCTGTTTAGACTTTGTTAACAAGGAGAAATTTCCATAAGATATAGTATTCCATAGTTTGTCAGTAATGTTGTAGTGTATGTTTATTTCATTGTTGGCACTGTTGTACATGATTAGTGAATACACTGATGAATTCCAGTCCACTAAAAGGTGTTCGTTTATTTCTTCACTGGACTGCAAATGCTTATATGCCATTTTAACACGGTGTATTGTAAATATATTTGTATTCCATTCAAATTGTATCTCATCATAAATATTGGATGAATTTCCCGACTTCTCAAATAGAAATGATTGATTAAGGCGATACTGATTTAATGCTTGAGTTGTTGAAATGAGTAGATTTTCATTTATTTTGAAAAAAGCTTTAGTTCTTTCCAATTGTTCACTTAGGCTGAACAACAGAGGTAACCATGGAATTAACAAAGTGATGTTTGATTTTATAGGAATTAGTAATTCATCAATATATCTAAGATTACAATGACCATGAATGTACAACTCACTCAGGAAGACAGTGGAAATTTGGATATAAGTGTGCATCTTTTGTAATGTATGACTGTATTCAACTTTGTTGTCATCCATTAATCCAGGTCGACCTACCCTGCACAGAATATCAAGTTTTGCATCCTCTTTATTATTATTCACGAGTAATTCACCTTGATAACCTCTTGTTCCTCTACCTTCATGCAAACGGTAGCCAACTATACCACGACTGGTGAAAACGACTTCATTTTCTGTTTTTGGCAAATTGAATTCATACTGTACCATACCATTAATCATCTCATATCCAAAGTAATAACCCATCAACTGAGAATCCAGTCCAACTTCGAGGTTACCATGTTCATATTTTTCTGCATGTTTAAAAAATATTCTTGCACGTACAGGTGATCCAGGCCCTTTTGCATTAGTTGTACTGTATTCAGCGCGAATTTCAAATAGTTTTTGATTCGAATCCAAATTTAAAGCGTAATTGTTACTTAAATAAAATCCACGCTGCCAATAATCTGGTGAGTATATCTGAATGGAAATCATATTAGAACCGTCGAAATGATACACACTATCCCAACGGTGTTTTGAATGATAAATTAGATTACCAAGAGATGACGATAAACAGTTCAAAACCATGAAATTGTTATTGTCAGAAGATTTCCAATTTAGTGTCAGACTGTTTTGTTTGCCTGACTGTGTAATCAGGTCAAAGTTTGTGTTGATCAGTGATTTATGATTAAACTCATAAATTAACTCCAACTCTGTATTAAATTTCATTTGGTTGTTTGAATTATTGTTGGTGAGTTTTAAGAGTGTTTCACCTTTCATTTTGGTAAAATCAACTTTTAGTTTACCTTGACCCTCTTCATCTATTTTAAAATTTGGTGCATACAAATGAATTTTACCCTCACATATAAATTTAATATGCAATGGTAAGAAGTGTAGTTCAGGTAATAATTGTAGAGCTAGCTCCAATTTTGAAATTATGTTTTTATTTTCCACCTCATTAGCGTTAACTGTACTATTGTGACTCAGGTGGCTGTTGTTATTTGTCAGGTTTAAAGTTTCAGTTTGATGAAAAGCAGTTAACTTGTGTTCGTTCAGCTTGTACATTAATTGATTTTTTATTTGTAAATGCTTAACATGATTAAAATAGACAAGATGATCTAAAGTTAATCCGGCATATGAATCAACAGTTGTTATATCGTAAATACTTAACACACGAATTGTATGCAGATTTGGCCACTGTAATATAAATTCGTGTAGACTATGCCATGGTTGTAACCAACTTTTTATTGAATACACTTTTCTATGATGCACATCATTATACTGCATAATTAGAGACGACAGTAGTTGTTCCTCGCTGTTGTGCAAAAGTGTTACTTGTACAGACTTATTTACCGGTTGAGAATGGATGTCTAGCGTAGTGTGAAATTTCACTAATGCTCCTGTATACGAAAACTTCCAGTCCATTTTATGATTAAATAGAAAATTGATTTCCTAACGGTAACAAGAACAAAAAGAGGAAGATTAGAGGGGAATTTGTCAAAGGAGGACAAATATACTGACACTGAGCTGTTTGCCATTTCTTTGCGGTAATAGACATTGCTATAAGAGTAAGCTAATACTGATTACCATACTAGAAGTGTTGCCAGACAACTGGGGTGCGGGGTTTATAGAACTGCTAAATACCAAGAATAAGGAAGTAATCTTAGATTATGAGTGAAATGATCTATCAAAAAAAGACTATTTGGGTTTGTTCGATTTTATTAAAATTTGAACTGGTGTTCTTCTCCTCGGAAAGTATTTTTTCAGTGCATCTTCTGCCACTTATGATACCATGATTATGCATCTGTGTAGTTCTAACTAATTTCATTGATATCTACTGTGTAGTGTTGTCACTGACCTGTATGAAGCAGCACTGCTTCCGGTAATTGATTATTATGCTTTCTAACCAATCCATGACAAACATAAAGTTACAACTATCCTTCTATGGAGTTTTGCAAAGCATATATGATACCGTTTAGCCACGTGTTTCAATTTACACTAAAGAAACTAAAATCAATGTTTTCCAGTATGGTTAACTGCTTCTATGTCGTTTTCTCTTACTTTTTAAAACAAAGTATACGCTGAAAGTTTCATGTAACTGTCTGCAAACCTTCCACTTTGTTCTACTATCAGGACATAAAATAATAATCACAGCTCATTAATGAAGTCATCTTCATCCTAGTTTGTAGTAGTTTCTATTGAAAAAAGACGAATCATTGTGGTTTGCATATTTGCATATTGCTTGATGTCTTCAGATGAAAATATTTTCTTTTTCATTAGATCGAACAGTAATCGATGGATGATAAATTACTTTTAAGATGAAACCTACCTTCATGTAATCACTATTACTATTACGTAGGTGTGATGAAAATGAAACTCAAGTTTGCAGAGAAATGATGAAAACTGTTCAAGTGGTATGACTTTCCGATGATAAAAATTTAACTGGAACTTAATACGAATCACTCTCAGGTTTTGTTTTTATCATTTTTATTATCGTCTAGAATGTTGCCGGTAAGCGAAATGTTTAGAGTATTGTCTCACAACATATTTATTTCTAAACAATCGTATGAAGCCTACGGAAAGTACATTCTCACTTGAGTTTCAGTATTGTTGATGATCACTAGTAAGAGGCTTGTATAACTATAATAGAATGAAGGGAATGTGAAATATTTCTCTAGGTGTTTATATCATCTTCTGACTGAATACCTCAGTTTGTTAACCTAGGGCTGCAGGCAGATACGTTTACTAGAAGTGTCGGTGATGAAACAAAAAGTAAATTTAAGAGGTTCTGCAAAAAGTTAGAACGACATAGAAAGTAAAATGAAGTTGACAATACAGTTACCAATTTCTTACTTTGTTAGGAATAGAAAAAGCAAATAGGCTGGTAAGATTTTTTATCCTTTCAGTGTTTATCTCATAAAGACTTATAAATGAAATATTCATTTTATTATATCTGTCACTGTTCGTATATATGAAATCAGCTTGGATGTGAAATTTGGAGGGTTTCCCAGAAATGGGTGTTAGAAATTGTTTTGTCTTGAAAATGTTGATTAAACACTCCAAACCCGACCTAGAAAAGTATTTTTGATGGTAGAATATAATGTTAATTTCAGTGGCAAGAACTATGGAAACACAAAACATAAATCAAACAATTACAAGTTTTCAAGTGGTTTGGTTTCCAGAATCTTATAATTAGGTGATATCGGTTAGAGATACATTTGGAAACCTGGGAGTACTGGACAGCTGTCTTGTCCTATTTTGGGATTCCCAGGTTTTCCAATGGTTCTTTAACCGATATCAATCTCATGAAGAAATCCTAATTACAAGTTTTAATTTTCTCAAGCGACCTATACATGTGAATTAATTCCAAGCTAAATGCCTGAGGCACAGAAATAGGAAATACATTGACAAGTGCAAAAATTAGTCGGCAATGAAAACCCATCTCAGAATTAGTGAAATTTAGCACACAATGGTGTACGAAGATATGATGGTAAGGATTTTTTTATCCACTAGTCAGATGAGATCATATTAACCAATCCCTTGTTTGGACTGCTCCCATCACGGTGCACTTTGAATTGTTGATATTAGATGATTGAAGGCAATGGGTAGAAAGCCTTGGACTTAGATTTTGCGCTAGTTAACACTCGTCAGCAAAGCTTATCTGTGACCCTGAAAGAACTGATGGCCAACTAGAATGGTGGCAACATTGCAAATTTGACTGATAGAATTCAGTTTGCACCAAAGATAGGACCAGACACATCATATCAGTTACCAACTAGTGCCCAATGAAAGTATCCAATACAGTCCTACAGGAAGGAGGTCAATCGCGAGCACGAATAACTCAGTAGTAACGTCTCTGACTGCATGTGGTACTCAGTGAAGCGAGTTCAAATCTCATAAGGGACATGAGATCCTTCAAGGCTGCAGATACGCATTGCTGGCGAATCTCAACTAGTATGAAGCCTAGTTCCAAAGCTTCCTGTCGATTATCTCCAACTGTCTATTGGTATAAGCTGTAAACCGCCTAAGTAATGAACACTGAATATATTATGAACAAAACTTTAAATTATAATCTGTCGTATCTCGTGTCCATATATTGGCTTCAGTTTTTATCTTTAGTTTAAAATATTTTGGAAGCTTTACTAAGATAAATTTCTGTGGAATAAGCAGAGGAAGGTGCTGAAATTTTAACTTCTTGCTGAGTCGTGTGAAGTTGTACCTTCCTTGTTTCTTCTGGAAGCCTGTTGGTTTTGCCTGTAGATCTTCGAGTTCGTGTGACATTAGACATAAATTTTGTTCTAAGTCTGGATGTTATAGTGTTTTCTTGTCGGTCCAACCCTTTCCTGACTTTTCACTCCCCACGAATGGTGTGTGGCATAATTCAACCCACCACAATCAGGAATTTCATCAGTTACAGTATGCAGCCTTCTCTTACTTCTATCTTCACCTCAAAGGCTTCGTTGAGTTTTCTGTTATAGATCACTTGACATGTGGGGTTGTCATATAGCTGTTCAATGAGGTTGATACAGATGTGGGGCACTCCACAGTGTTGAAGTAGTATCCGAATTATTTCGCGTTCACTTCTGTCGAAGGTCTTTTCAAGGTCAATGAGGCTGAGGTAGATGCTTGACCGCCATACTGCGCTACATCCGATGATGGTGCCTACAGTAGCAATTTGATGAGCACATGATTTGCCTTTCCTGAAATCAGCTTGTTCTGGTCTAGCAGAGCTCTGCATCCAGTGCACAGTTTAGTGTCTTCACAATGAAGCAACTTAGTATTCTGCTTGGAGTCGACATGAGCATGATTTTGGGCCAGCTTAGCCAATTTAGTGGGAGGAATAAAGCGCTTAGTGCGATTATCTGCGCAAAATTCTTACTTCAGTGAGTTGGATGATTTATAAAACTTGACTCTTTAAACGAAGACAAAATTGAGGATTAATGAAAAATACCCCTCCAGACGTGGATATAAAAACAAACAGTTCGACGAAGAGTCTTTTTACGGCGAATTCACCCATTTAACTAAACAATCTTAATTGTATATAATTATTTTTAATGCATGTGTACATTAGGTTTGTCATATAAAAATAAAAATTAGTTAGGATTATCGTTTTCGTCACCAAAATACTCCAAAAAATGTGATGAATAATTAAACTGTAACTACAGGGGTGAAGATAAGTGAGTCTTGGCTAGGGTTACCTGATATGGAATACGTTCAGTAAAGTAGGATGTTAATGAAACATTATGGAGTAAATAGAGGGTTAGTTCAGAAAAAATGTTACTAAAATGTCATAGAAAATATGTATATCACAGAAAAACAGAAGATTGATTTATTCGCAACGTACTCAGTAGTATAAACAACCGAATTTACCACTTGACAACAAAGTGGGAATCAGCTTTTTTACGAACCAAGTAATCAAGATAGGTTCATTCTAACTGGTGTGGTAACCTACACAGTCGTCAGTAGGAGATTAATGCATATTATAAGCAAATAAGCTCATATATAGGCTGTTTTAAAGTAAACGGTTTCTGGCCACTTAAAATATAGGAAGAAAATGATTTATTTACTGAAAGAGCTCGGAATATTAAAGCAATTGCCACTTTTATACTTAAACTGTATTTGTTATTGACAAAACATAACTTCACTTTGCTAATCAAACAGTTGTGTATCTTAAGAAACGCAAGCTAGGACTTTGTGTTTTACGTGTCGTTAATGCTTTTACTGGATGGTTAAAATTAGTAAGTTTATTTCTCATATTGTTATAAGCTTCGGAAAAAAGTCCACTAAAGCCGAGCATTGACAGTTTACGGCTGTATAAAAGATACGTAGACGATATATTCATTATTTGTGACAACAAAAATGACCCCTATCTACTCCTGAAGACATTTAACTGTTGCCATCCATCAATAAAATTCACTCTGGAAATAGAAAACGAGTCAAAAATTCTGTTTCTTGATGTGGAAATAAGAAGAATAACTGATGGGAGTCTAAGAAGATCGATCCATAGAAAAGCTACTTGGAATGGTCAACTAACAAGCTTCCATAGCTCGGTACCCATTCAACAAAAGCGGAATTTAATTAAATCACTTGCTACCCGCATCCGATGCATCTGTAGTTCCAATGTTATAGAAACAGAATTAGATATTCTGAAAGAAATCTTCATGCAAAATGGATACCCAATACGATTCATTGACAAAAATATCAAACCAAGAATTCGGAGAAACGAAACTTTAATTGCGCCGAAAAAGAAACTCTACGTGAACTTGGATTTCACGGAGATTTAGCAAGCGATATTCTCAAGAGAAGGATCACATCATCTCTGAGAAGAACATTCTTTGCAGTAACATTAAGAATAGTGTTCTTCAGTCGTCCAATGATCTGCAGAAGCCTTAAGGACAAGATCCCGCATCTGACCACTTCTGTGTGCATATATAAGTTCACCTGCTGCTGTGGAGCCAGGTACATCTTTCGTTCAACGCGTACTCTGTCCAAGAGGATTCAAGAACACTATCCAGCATGGTTGCGAAAAGGCAATAGTGGTGCAATAAGGAGTTTGATAGTTGAACACCTGGTTAACACTGATCATTCCATTTCAATAAACGCCCCTTTCAAAGTAATCTACAGGGTCAAGAATAACCTATCAAGACAATACGGTTTCGTCTTCTGTGTATCTCTGAAGCTCTGGCCATCCACATAGAAAAACCGGAGCTGTGCATACAGAAGAGAATTACTCAACCACTTTTACTGTCTTGGTAACAACTTTTTTGATTTTGATGACTTAATTTTGTTTCTTTGCCTGTTCTTTTTTTATTTCTTCACGTGTCCCAGTGAAACATAGGGCTTCAAGCTAAAGGCCTGAAGTTTCTGTAGCAGTATTTATTTTTACAGGATGGGGTTACTAGCCTCATACCCAACCTTCCCTCTTTACCAGCTTTTTAATTCTGGCTTAGCGAGGTAAAGGAGTGCATCAGCCGAGGACCGAACCCCAAACCATATGCATGGTCGGCGAGCGTCTTAATCGCTATGCCACCGACGCACTTGCCTGTTCTTTAATTGTTTACAATTCTTGTATTCATTTAGAACTCTTACGCAATTTCGTACTATCTACTTTCTTCCTATGTGAGTAAACTCACTCATCAAACTATTCATATTATTACATAACTTTTTAACAACTGTTTGTGACAACTAATCACCTTTGTTACTACCCTAATTTCATTAACACCTCATTTTCTTGACTGATTTTGTATTACGTTACTCCAGTAACCAATCTTCACCTGCTTAGTTAAAATAACCTTAACCAATTGTATTTTGGTTTGACAAACTTAAAGTACACATACATACAAAATAACACGCATATATACATATATACGCGATTGTACAGCTAAGAAAATGAATTCGCCGAAGAGAGACTCTTCGCTGAATACCGCGGAATACACCATTCCGTGGAATTAGTCCAGACAATCTGACCGAATTATTCAGAGTTATATCTTCAAAGTAAGATTAGGAAATATAGGTGAAATATATTTCTTTCTGTACACTTACTTCATCCATCTTAAAACATTATACTGAACAATATTTTGATCAAAGAGGATGTTTAATAAAAACTCAATTCTATTTAATTTTAATCTAAAATATTTTAAATACCTGAAAATAACTCAAATGTATGAGGTCTCCATCTCCCAAATGTGAGATGACCAACTAGTTGCCTAAAAATTCTCAAACGTTTAAGTTATTCAAGTTTCATTTAATCACCAAATTAAGTTTTAATAGTTTACAATTATAACTCAAAAATGAATTATGAAGTGGAGAGGTTGCATAATCCCTACTTAGCATAAAAATATAATCTGATTCTTTTGTAAAAACAACAAGAATGAATTAATCTACATTTTATGAAGCACAGAAAAAAATTTAACAGTGGAACTGAGACAGAACACACTAAGGAGGGATTTAAAAGATGAAGTATGTAACTCTAAGGGTTTTACTGGAGTGCTATACTCTAGCCTCTTGATGGCAAAAAAGTAACTTAACCTAAAAGTTTCTTCTTACTGATGATAATAATAATAGCTGCTAGGTTTTGCTGTGAGCTTGAAAGTCGTATGCCTGTGGGAAATTTAGGTCTGTGAAGATGCGGTTCATTGGCTTAAGCACTCAACGTTTAGTCAGTGGGTCGCAGGTTCCAGTCTCACTTCACCTAATTCAGCCTGAGCGATTGGGTCATATTATTAGCCCTCACATTATAAGTATGACTCATACTTCACTATCGGGTAACTGAGCAATAACTAACTCCTTGTGAAGAGAAGCACAGCTAGTCATCTGCACATTTTGCTATGAGCTTGAAGTTGGTCAGCACTTACAAGTATCTGATTGTTACTCCCAGAATAGGTCTTACGAAGAAGCCACATCATGAATTCTTCTAAATAATGCACTACTGTGATATCAACAGTATACTTATCAGTAGGTACCAGCAATCAACAAACTGAATAGCATGATCTTCGTTAAAAAGCTTCCAACCATTCAAAGCTTATGTTGTACACTTAAAATTAACAATTCCCAAAGTAGTGATCACCAGAAATAAGTTGACACTAGTGATAAAATAATACTAGTTAGCTTATAAACCATTCACTGTTACGAATTCTTTTATTTTGTCACATGAAAGCACTGAATCTAATCACTAATATTTCTTTCTATATCCTCCTTTTATTTAACTAAGATGATATCGTATGTAATATCGCAATTTAAACAAATTTCGACTCCTACTGAGAATCTTCTAATTAATTGTATCTATTCCAAGTTCATTTTGACTACACCCTTTTGTGCCCGTCTTGACTCGATAATCAGCTCATTTGTCTTTCTGTCTTATTAACACTGGAATAATTGCATTGAGGCGTTTTTTATTAGAAGCGGCCAAAGCTTCAACATTGAATGAGGAAAGCTGTTGTCTGAGACCACCTATAAGCCGATATTTGAAGAAAGGTTCGATGTAAGATAATCGAAAAAGAAGAGAAAAGGTTTTATTAACTACCATTTCACTGAAACTCTTTTACCAGGTATTGATAAACATTCCCCAGGGGTTTTTGTTTAAAATTAAATTTCAGCAAGAAACTGTTCTGTAGACATTCGCCACCGTCAATAACATAAAAATAAACAATAATTGATATGGGAACAATGTAATAAACTTACGGGAATGATGAGCTTTCTGCTTTCATTTTCCTGTAAAGTAAAAAATTATTTTCAGCATTCTGGTGAAAATGGTTAGGAATGGAAAAACGATGACTGTTGACTGGATGCTGCTATTGTGATAAAGTAAGTGAAACGCAATAAAATTTACGAATCATTATGACAGACAGGGTTTTCATGAACACTCAAAGTCATTATCGGTCAGTAGTGATCTTAATCTACTACGTCACCAAGTAGCGGAGATAAACTAACCATTTTATAAAACACTAGACTCCGTAACTCACTTCTTAAAATACTAGGCATTTCGCGTGGTGATCCTTTGTGAAAATATTGATGAGCTTGAAAGTTCCCTTTAGTCTCAGTTCGCCTCTAACAGCAGTAACTGGACCAGATTGGTTTACCAATGTTAAACCTAAAAAAGTGCAGCAACTCAACTTACCACACTTATATTAAGAATAAATAAAAAATAAACTATGGGGAAAAGTAGATGAGACTACAATTTAAAAAGGTATGCCAAAGAAAAAGCAGTTTCATGAAGAACAAACAGGAGTGAATTATTCTTTGAAAGGATAAACACTGAATATATATGCACTATCATATTACCGAAATTCCCCAACAAGTGCTTCTTGCAGTTGTGAAGACTATACATACATCTAAATACACAACTCGAATAAACAGTCAAAGTCTTCATCAAATATACTCATGTCTCGTTTGGTTTCTCCTCAAGTTTCGACAGTCTCATCCTGTTTCCACTAACTTCACTCATCAAGGAAGAGGACGTCTCATGATAGGAAACATATGTTCTGAATATCTCAGTCGATATAGCTTCAGAATTTCATCCATGTCATTTCACTCCACGCTCAACTTCATTATTTCTGACAATGTAACACAAGATTCAAAGGAAACCCACGTGGTAAAAACTGTCAAACAGGTGGACTTGTCATAGTCTCCAATGATGGTGCATTAAACCTGTGTATTCAAAACATGCCTTTTTGTAGATGTTCAGATATTTTGCCCATGGAAAGGACGGTGTCAGTTGGTAAATTTACGCCGGCCGGGAACACATGGTTATTTGAACGAAATTGGAAAGGACGTTCACTGTTACTGCTTTATAAGTGTTGCATAACTACAGAGTTACGGCACTAAAATTGTAGAGCAACTAAAAGAAAATGTAGGCATTTGTAAATGCCGCTCCGATTGAAGATAGCAACGATAATTTTAACCCCTTTCCTTTAGTACTGGCTTGTAGCAGCTTCCATTTTTTTAAACGACTTTCTGTAGAAGTTTAATTTAATGTGCACCCGATAGATGGTAGACAGTCAAGCAGTTATTCAGTAAAGTTTTTATTTACAACCACAGTTCACTGCTTGACGTGACTATTTAGATGTTCATTCCTTTTATAAATTAATAAAAAAACTTTTACATAGCTCCAGTTAACTACGTCGTTATTTTGAAATCCAACTCTGAGCTTATATCACAGCTATGGCATTCAGTTCAGTTTGTGATGTAATAATTAATACCAAATAAACAAACGAAAAGGTTTGTACACCCGTAAACCACTTAACACCATGTTTGACCTAACAAGAAATTCAAAGTTTCAAAGTATTACTTTTGTGCTTATTTTTTAACGGCTGGAGTAACATGAAGAGCTATTAGGAATGCACTAACCTTAAGTAATTTCATTCAGACAACATATATATATATATTCAAGTGTTGGTTTGTAGGGATTTGATTGGTTACAGGATTTCCATCATGAGCTGACATTAGTTAGAGGACCATTGGAGAACCTGGAAGTACTGGACAGCTGTTTCGTCCTAGTTTGGGACTCTTCATCAGAACGCACCCACCGGGATTCGAACCCAGGACCTTCTGGTTACAAGGCGAGCTAGCTCGTAGACCATTAGGCCACCGGGACCCGATCCAATGGCCCGCGAATTCTAACTTCTGCCAATTCACGATATATAGCGCGACCCCAACCAATGTCTTCGGCGAGTATTTATCCTCACACCCGACCTTCTGCACCCTACTGGTCAAAACTTCTCACTAGAACCCCAGGTAACTATCTACCTGAATAGATCCAGTCGCTAGTAAGCATCTCATTGGTATTCAAGTGATGGTTTGTAGGGATTTGAATGGTTATAGGATTTTCATCATGAGCTGACATTAGTTAGAGAACCATATATATATATATATATATATATATATATATGTAGTTATGCCCCTCGTTTTAAATGACGTTGATCAAAAAGCTAAGCATACAAAATTATCAAGTCAAAGAAACCTATATGCTTTAGTTAACAGCTGTTGAATCTTTGATCTCAGTTAGTGTTCGCAAACATTGATATACCTATAATTTATTAGATAGTCGGTAGAACAACTGGATCTCGTCTTTCCAACTCATATCATTTATAGGTATAAAGTTTTCTTTCTTTCTTTTCCTTCTCTCTTTTTTGTTATGTGCTGCTTTGTTTCTCTCTTCCTTACGGACTATATTTAAGACATTCTTCTTCGTTCTTTCACACTCTGTATATCTCGACCTTTTTGTTACCGCTTACGCTAGTATATATGCTAGTATCTACTTTTCTAACACCTTCAAACACTCTGTTCAACTTTGGCTTTGTTACCGACATGCTAATATGTTGTTGTCAAAACTAACCGAGATTACATTTGATCTGTGTAGAAGTTTATTTATTTATTGATAATGTACTAACTGGATGCAATACTGTAGTAAAACGCTGAGAATTCCATTCTTTATTACAAGTGTTGTTTTGGAATAAAGCTAATTATTATTATTATTGATGAGGACCAGTAGAAAAAAACAATCCATAGCAAAACCATTGTTTGTATTTACACTGGAAATAATCTTAGTCAACTGAAAAATCCTCTGAATTTTCAACGTTGAAACATTGTACTTAAAATTACTATCTGCAATACTGATAACAGAAGTTGATAAGGGCCGATGAAGAAAAATGACGATGTGATGTGTTACCCAGCTGAGTTTATCGTTCTTACTTTGTTGTTCAAGAAATCAGTAAATAAACTGTCACTGAAAATCGATTGATCAAGCATTTGTTACAGTTGTTTACAAATTTGTATTGTCGATTTTTTAAGCGTAGCAAGATGCTTGTTCCTTATTCTCTGAGTGGTATAAATAAATCTTTCGTAAAATAATAAATGAGCATTCGAGAAATACTGATTACTCTCACTGAAGTGGAATATTAAAGATGAAGTATTGTTCCCTCATCAGTATCAAGGTTGTAAAACTTGTGGTAGCCGCTTGTGAATATGTGTAATTAATTTCTTTCTGAAGAGATAAAGCGGTTAACTTCACATGCAATAGGATCAAAAAATGTATCTTTTGTTTCTTGTAATTATGAGTGATCTTGAAACAGAGAACTGCCTGTAAGTTATCAGTAGGAAATGATTCACTGAAGCTGGAAAGCAGAGGCAGTTACAAATAATGAATATCTTTCTAAGCAATTCACCTGTCAACTTTAGAATTAGGTATAAGGCTAAACATGTGGTCAGAAAAGTCGCTACAGTCTACTTGCCTTGTATGCGGCGCTTAATAAACACTTTTCACATTCCCTGTTCAAAATATTCTGGAACTGTTACATTAACAAAAGAATTCACAGACCATTCATTCGCTTAGTTGATTTCACTTCTTTTAGTGCTATTAATTCAAATAGCTAAGTGAACAACTGTTTCATTCACTCATTATTATTAGTTGAACATGGAATTTTCGATATTTTTTTTCTCTCATAATAATGTTCGTTATTGTTTTAGAAATACTTATCATGTCTATTCTATTTTATAAAAAGTTATTCACACTACGTAAAAACCAATTTTTTTCGGTTAACGACAAACATTTCTTCAGTTTTACAATCTAGACTTCAATTTACAACTATTCTGTTTTCTCACCAACCTAAAAACACATGTCAATTATATCATAGTTATAAGAAAGATATCGAAACTATTTAAGATGATATATCTTTATGTAGTCGTGTGTGAAACATGATATGTACGCAGCGGAGAGACGTAGTACTAAAAGAGTATGCCATTCATATTTCGTAATCATTTACACAACTCCATTAAAATTATCACTTCGCGGAAAGTCAGTGAAGAAGTAACATTATGACTAACGATTGTAGCGTTTAAGTTCGATTTCCTCAAGAAAAAATAAAACTTATTGGTCTCCGGGATAAGTGTTGACGATTTTAACTGGGCAAACTTTAAGTTCTTCGTGTGTATACCTCGACCAAGTGGTCAGGATAAATGCTCACTTGTTAGAGATGTTGGAATCGCTTGTTCAGCCAGCAAGTGATTCCTGAACTAGTTACATGACTTATGCTATGAATCTATGCAACACATATGCATTAGTATTCGTTTTTCATGTTAAAAGGCTATCGAACCGATCAATGCAAGAAAATAAATTAGGTACTGAGATACTATTTCATTGAGTAGTTTGTTTTCAAAATAATTACTACTTAACGTCCACCTATCAACCTGGAATGAGTATTTTACCTCAGCGGACAAATGTTTACGAATTGAAAGTTATAATTTTCTCAAATGATAATATTATTAGAATAAGCTGTCCTATTGTTAAATTGGAAACAGGCATGAAATGGACCCACACAAAAAACTTGGAGGATCTGGACTTCGCCGATGATATATGTCTGGTTTTCCACAAACTGGAAGGTAGACAAGTGAAAAGCAACAAGCTGACAGAAAAAGAATCCAGAGAAGTTAGGACTTCAGGTGAACACACAGAAAACGGAGGTGATACAGATTCCTGGCCAACAGCGACAACAACATCAACAACAGACAACAATCAGCATGAGAGAAATCTGGAAGAAGCAATCTCCTTCACCTACCTACCTACCTACCTACCTGGGAAGCATCATTTCAACTCAAAGCGGACAGAACTAACGAGGATATCAAAGCGAGGATCGGGAAAACAAGGCAAGCTTTCATTATTCTCAGGTCTGTTTGGAGGTCAACAGCACTAAGAACGAAAAATAAGATCCGCATTTTTAACTCCAATGTGGAGTCAGTGACACTTTCTATACGAATCAGAGACTTGCACTGCACGTCACGAAAGGCACTTTGTTCAATACTACTCAAGATCAGATGGCCGACCAGAAAAGATCAGCAACAGAGGTCTCTGGTAATGAACGAACCAACTTAGTAGGAAACGATTGTGCAACAAATCTACAAGCAGAAATAGAGGTGGATTGGACATACTCTGAGAAAACCATTAAGTGAGTGACATCACACGACAGGCCTTCTCTCAAGTAGAAAAGGAACGGGAAGCGGCGAGTTGGTCGTCAGTGTGAGGATGATATGGAGTAGTTCATGTGAATAGGAGATGAAAGTATGTGGACGGAGGTGGAGCCAGGTGAAAACGTTGACAGAGAACTGAATGCAATGGATACGTGCGGCTGGAAATCTTCGTCACTCAGCCGGCATCAACAACAAAATTCGGTCGTATTTTCAGTACAAACGTCAAGTCAGTTCTTCTATACGGATCAGAAACTTGGCGGGCGGGTGAGTCACAAAAGAATATTTCCGACAGCCTGTTGCAGACCTTTGTCAACCAACCAACAACTGTCTTCGCTGGCTCTATACTGAAGATCAGATGGCCGGGCCGGAAGGAATCACCAACAAGAAACTATGGGAACAAACAAACAAAACAAGAACCAATTGGCGACCAATATATATGCAGGAGAAAGTGGAGATGGATTGGACACTCGCTCGCTGAGGAGGCCACCGCTGGTTGACATCGCGCGTCAGGGATTAAAATTAGTTATAGAACGTTCAAAACGTGATAGTTCTGGATAACTGTTAGTAATCATGGGCTGTTAAATCACGTTCAGTTGGCTGAATAATCGATGGATTTGCCTCGTAATCTCAAGTTACTCCGTTAGATTCCAGATGAGGCCACGTGTGCAGGGTCACTATTGTATAGCCGCAAACTAGAACAAAACAAATGTTCAATAATCCCTAGTTCTCAGTGGTGTATTCTAATTGATGTTAGCGTGTGATCGAACTTGAAATCAGCCAGACCCCTATAAACAAACACTTCAAAACAATCTTCTCATTGTTGGCTTCAAGAAGGTGTAGGTATGTTTAGCATGCTATATCACTCAAGATACAGTTTATATTCTAAATATCAACGGATATTAGACACTTACAATGTTATGTGTTTATCGCTTTCACTGTCAAAAGAAGACTTTTCATTTTCATATGGTCCCTCATTCCAGAAGAATGAACTTTGATAACTTAGATAGCGTTGGAGCACTGTAGCATTGAAAATGGTTTCACAGTAATAGACAGGTGGCCATTGATCTTGTGGAGAATTTAACTGAAATTTCCATCTTACATTAAGTAAGCTTGATAAACTCATAGATACTGAAGTATTGAATGCGGCTATGCCAAGTGCTTCAAGATTTTTATTTTTGAAAATATTGCTGATGACTATACAAACAAGTGATAAAGAAACAAAATTGTAAAGAATATCATGTAACTGTCGACACGTTTTATGAATGACGATGTGTTTAATGATTCTATAGAGAAAACCACCCTGAAAATTGTTTGAAATCGTTATGAAATATTCAAGTATTGGTTTTTGTAGGGATTTTGTTTGATTGCATGGAGGATTTAATCATGAGCTGACATCAGTTAGAGAACCACTGGAAAACCTGGGAGTACTGGACAGCCGTTTCGTCCTAGTTTGGGACTCCTCAGCAGTACGCACCCACCGGGATTAGAACCCAGGACCTTCGTGAACTAGCAGAAGTTAGAATTCAAGGACCATTGGATCGGGTCCCAGTGGCTCAATGGTCTACGAGCTCGCCTTGTAACCAGAAGGTCCTGGGTTCGAATCCCGGTGGGTGCGTACTGCTGAGGAGTCCCAAACTAGGACGAAACGGCTGTCCAGTACTCCCAGGTTTTCCAGTGGTTCTCTAACTGATATCAGCTCATGATTAAATCCTCCACGTTATGAAATAATTTAATTTATTTTAATTTTATTTTATTATAGCTTGATTACACACAATATTTTTGGTACATGTATGGAATTTTCAGCACGTGATATTGTTTATGGAAGTTTAGCGAGCCAACCATTGATATAAAATGTACATCCGCCAGGAATCGAACTCGGGACGCTGTATATGACCGATGAGCGTCCTAACCGCTGTGCACCGACGCACAGTATAACTAGTAGATAATTTGAATTGTTATTGAATTACGGTGGGGAAAGTTTTGACAGAAGATATTAACTAAAGCCGTTTTTGACTTTGCTATATCACCGAAACTTGAAAAAATTTAGAATATCAGTGAAAACATTGGGTGGAGGTGATGCTACAATATGAACTACATAAAACCAGACTTTGAATCAGTGAGTTCACTGATTTACGTAATCTTAGCTGCAGAGTGTTGAAGAGTTTGAACTTTAGAATACTCTGTGTGTCTCCTTGTTTCAGCAACTGGTTTTGGTTTGTAATAAAGTTCATCTTGGATTTATTCTTCACACCACATCAACAGCTCTCGTTCAAATACTGTCACATTTGCAAGGTGTTGTATTCTGTTATAAGTCCATTATCGAGTATACTATCATTATATCATTACCAAATCAAAAGTTGGGGGCTGTTATTATTTGATACGAACAAGAGGATTTGAGAAGCACGATCACCGCCTTTGTGTTTCAGTACAGTATGCTTAGTAGTTGAACAATCATGGAATTTGTTCCGAACGCTCTTACATTCACAAGTGTATAAACAGAAATTATGACAATGTAATAATATCACTTCTCAACGGTCAGTCAACACTTTAGGTATTCTAGTGACCACGATATCATGTTTAAAGATATGAAAATTAAGGTTCGATCACAGGCTGACATCAGTTGGGAAACCACTGGAAAACCGGGAAGTATCAAGCAGTTGTTTCGTCCTAGTTTGGGACACTGAAACTACACACAGACACACACCGGGGTGCAATCTCAAACTTATCTCAGTTCGTGATCAAATACTTGCAAACCAAAACCTAGAAATATAAAACTAACACTCAGGAGTGCCTTCTAATATGCTAGATGAGTAATTCTTGAATAGTTCCTCTGTTGTGTTACAAAGGGTCAATAGACTGCTTCATTTAAAATATGATACTAACCTGTTGACATGGTAGTTGACTAAGCCTAAATCATTCACAGGACCTATACTGTTATTGCTATCCTATATTTGGTGTTAAACAAAACATAACAAACTAATTTTTCGTATGATTGCTGCTCTAAATAACAAGACTCCAGTTGTGGTTCACTTTATTCCGATACTTCAGAAGTAATAGAAGTCGTAAATTATGACTCCATTCTTTTTGACACTTGCCAACAGATAACTCAGAAACTTCAAAACATTCACTTCATGTTTGAAACTGAGCCACTAACTTTTGCATTTATAAACAGTACCACCTAAGAATCGGAGATTAAATTGGTCATCATTTTCAGCAATAGGGTATTTTTCAGTTTGTGTGTGTAGATACTATTTTACAGAAGTAGCAGGGCAGTTTGAATTAGCAAATTTTAAATTATTAATGACTGATCTTTGGTATCCCGAGGGAGAGGTAAATTAATCATGGAAGATTAGGCTTATAATTTGTGTATATACTTTGCCTTACAGAATGCACAGATAATCAACCACTTTTTCCTTCTCTTTAAAACTTACTGTATGGGCTGTCATTAAAGTTCCAATAGATTTATTATTATTATTATTATCCTATCCATTGCATCTTAACACATGTATGTATAAAACACAATTTCACGCCTTTTTAAGAAAATATGTAAATGTCTTGAATGGTGTACTGTTGTATCACTAAATTTATCTATCATAGTCATATAGTGATAGAGCCTTACCACCTACCCAAAGTCTTTTCATGTTTTGACAGTCAAGTCATAGTTGATGTGTATGTGCGTGTCATAGATATGCATATGACTATGAAATCTCCCTTATCGACTGTACATTACAACTTTAGGTTTCTGTTATCAGTAACTTGACCATTCTGTTGCTGTTGTCTATGCACTGAAGTGAGTGTATAGGTTGTTCGACTTGTTGTTTATAAATAACTTAGAACTACAACTTATGTTACCTAGATCATTCTCTGTCTACTGCTGGGATTTATTTTGTTATCATTTATTAGAATAAAAAGTAGTGGAAAATTTATTAGACTGTTACCCTGTAACGTTGTAGAACGTATGTCTACTGTTATGGAGTATGATTAACAACCAGCAGAACTCAGTCTTATAAATCCCCTGAATAATATTCATTAAGTATTGGTTTTTGTAGGGGTTTTGTTTGATTGCATGGAGGATTTAATCATGAGCTGACATCAGTTAGAGAACCACTGGAAAACCTGGGAGTACTGGACAGCCGTTTCGTCCTAGTTTGGGACTCCTCAGCAGTACGCACCCACCGGGATTAGAACCCAGGACCTTCTGGTTACAAGGCGAGCTCGTAGACCATTGAGCCACTGGGACCCGATCCAATGGTCCTTGAATTCTAACTTCTGCCAGTTCACGACATAGCGCGACCACTTCGCAATGTCTTCTTCGATGAGTTACTGCCTAATCTTCGACCAGGTTTTCCAGTGGTTCTCTAACTGATGTCAGCTCATGATTAAATCCTCCACGCAATATTCATTAACTTTTGATAGGCTATGCGCAATTCCATGAAGTCCAAAAACTGACAACCAAATTTTCAGTGTTTCTAATTACACTGATCATATACGTCAAATCATTATTTGCAACGGGCACATTTTAGAATAAAACAAACATTTGGTTTACGTTGGAGTTCAATTCTCTCATGTTTGTGGTTTCGAAGATTTCTACTGAATATCACAGGGAGAAAACCATAAATTCGGTTGATAATTTTAACTAATTACAGTAAAAGTCAGTGGAATTCCTGGCTGAAACTGTGTTGGTTTTATTTATTCACTGTAGCCACAAGTAGTATTCAGTATCACTTAAAGTCATCCATTTAAAAAAAACTGACCAAAATAAGCTGATTGTGACCGTCTAGTAGCGTATTCAGTAAATCGTAGGAACTAATTTTGAGTTGATTTATAGGAGCATTAGGATTTGAACATTCACACCGACCCTGAGGAAAATTTTTCGTTCATATGCGTATAAATATATTCAATAGGAATGTATTGATCTTATTAGTTTTTGTCAAAGTTAGGGCAACATCGTAAAAGCGAAATCACCTTTAAATGCATTTAGTATTTAAGAGAGCTGAAAGTAAAGCCACTACCACAAATTTCGGTGACAAACTATTTGAGATGAAAACAAGTAATCATGACAAATTCAAGTGAATTCAAAAATTACATCATATAGTCTTAAATCTACATACGTCACATACAATTTAATTCAAAAGGCAAGCTGTCATCCTGATTTGTCGCTTTCATTCTGACGAATAAATTAGAAGTTCTACTGAAATTCATGTTGATGATGCCACTTGGATGATGTATCTGTGTAACTGTTTCCATGTTGATTCCATCAGTTTTCGACGTTCCATTTGTCTGTATTATTTTGTTTTGATTAGCATATCCCTCTCCTCGAATTAGACCGTCATCGGAAACATTGACTAACGGAAGTTTGAGAAAAAACACAAAGTTGTTTTTGTTTTAAATGTTATGACCAGTAAATTTACGTTAGTGACGGCAATTTTAAAGTGATTATTTAGTTGAATGCTTAAAATCATTGACGTTTTAAAGAATTGTAGCAAATGTGATTTTTACAATGTAATTTGTCACACGGATAACAAACTCACTTTTGAAATAATCGCCGGTAAACACAGTTTGTTACACTTGAGATGCAACTAACAAGGTTACCCTTTTTATGCATAAGATGTGCGGCTAGCCACTGAGAGCATTCACTGATTTCATTGGATCCCACGAAAAATGAATAATGAGAGGATGGAATGCATCATTTCTGTCAACCTTGTGCTATGTTGCAAAATATTTTTAGAATCAAATAATTAGACCTATGACTGGATGTAATCAGAAGGCTCTATACAATTTTTTTCATTATAGGAGATAAACGGAATAATACCTAATGAAATAATACAAAATATCAGTCGGAAATTCGAGGGTATAGCGATATGCGGAGAATTCTCTACAGAATTTTACAGCCTTGAATGATAGCTGCCTTCTTTTGCCCAACTTCCAGTTACCATTATCACGAAGAAAGACATGCTGTGGATTTTCTCATTATAAATCGTCTGTGATAATTATTAGGAAGCTCTGATTTTTCTTTTAAATAGAGCGAAAACAACAGTGGTTTGTGCAGAATAATATGGCACCATCATTTATTTCGTCGTCTTCTCATCAGCTGCCGCTTACAGCCTAAATAAATTATGAGGTTTACATACAGAAAAGTGTTAACATACTTGAAAATTTTACATGTTGTCAGTTGACAGAAACTTCCACAATTAGTGAACAGTGCTCAGTTAATTGCGTTTATATAGTTTTTACACAGGTAGTTCAAGTTTAAACAAAGAAGATGTATGCATAGAATGGTAAAGGAGTTACGTAATAAAGACGAGGGATGAGTAAGATGCTAAGTGACTAATAAATTAGGTAACGATGTACTGAGTTCAACTCAACTGAGACAAACAAAATTACAGATTATAAAAATAGAGGATGAGGTTAAAGACAAAGATTACGTAATCAGATGAGAGAAAGAAGACATTCAGTTACCAAGGCAAGGAAAAACTAATAACCGCTTCTTTATTTATCTGTTCAGAAGGAAGCAGTTAGTAGTCTTTCCTTGCCTTCATCTGATTACGTAATCTTTGTCTTTAACCTCACCCCTTTTTTATAATCTGTAATTTCGCTTGTCCGACGATGCATATGGTCCAGGGTTCAATTCCCGGCCACAGACGCACCCCTCAACCTCGCTAAGCCAGAAATACTGCTGGTAAAAAGGAAAGGTTGGGCATGAGGCTAGCAACCCCGTCTTGTAAAATTAACACTGCTACAGAATCTCCAAGCCACTAGTTTGAAGCCCTATGTTCCACTGGGAAACGTGAAGGAAAGAAAAAAATTTTCGCTTGTCTCAGTTCAGTTGAACTCAGTACATCGTTACCTAATTTATTAGTCACTTAGCATCTTACTCATCCCTCGTCTTTATTACGTAACTCCTTTACCATTCTATGCATACATCTTCTTTGTTTAAACTTGAACTACCTGTGTAAAAACTATATAAACGCAATTAACTGAGCACTGTTCACTAATTGTGGAAGTTTCTGTCAACTGACAACATGTAAAATTTTCAAGTATGTTAACACTTTTGGAGTACGTAACAATGTGATTGTACACTTTTTGGTTATTTGTATAAATTCGAGATATTGTACATAATTTTTGTTTAAAACGCTTCTTGTTGAAATATACATAACTTCCTGGTACAATTGAAAAAATACACTCTGCTGTTGGAGACTTCGTCTTCTCCCTGGTCACTTCTGCTTACTTGCTCCACTCACACCGTGTTGTATACTTCGGATTTATTGTAGGAGCCTACTACTCTCAACCGAAGACATTTCTACAACCGGAACACAGCAGCTACAGCAGACGCAGTCCAAACAATTAACGTGCCCGTGGATTATATAATTAATTTGTAGCCGAGGACTTGGACTTTATATCCAAGTAATCCTTTTTGTTGCTATAACTCGTCACTGTATTTTTGGAATGTTAGTGAACTCTAATATTAGTCCCCTACACTTTTCTGTATGTAAACCTCATAATTTATTTAGGCTGTAAGCGGCAGCTGATGAGAAGACAACGAAATAAGCAATGATGGTGCCATATTATTCTGCACAAACCACTGTTATTCTTGCTTTATTCAAATTTATCAAGGGGAATATATACATGAAGTTTTTTTTGTAACACAGTGATATAGCATTTATAACTGAATGATATTTTGCACACAACTGTTTGTTTTTAAGCAAATCGTCTTGAAATAAGAGTAATTAATACAAGAGCGCAGGATTCCACTGTGGCATTTTTTGAAAGTGATAATGGTACCGGGATCCACTAGATTTCAGTAGCTGCAGGTAATTCCAATTTTTGAGATTGTGGATCAGCAAACATTTAGAAAGATAAATAGGATTCATGGAAAGATGATGTGTACAGTCTTGCTGTAAATAAAGCTATAAATATGATTTGTGTCATACACGTTGTTAAAGAATAACATTTAAATAATAAGTTGAATTACAGCGAACATTTTGGAAAATACTGGCATATAGTATTCAGTGATGAGGGTATTTGGAAACCACGAATATAAAATAGTTATGCATTCTCACCGAATAAATCAGACCACCTATCTATGTTGCTTGTTTTTTCGATTGCCACTTATGGTATCAGACAAGTTATATATTGTTATATAATAATCTGGTAATACAAACTAAAAAGGGTTAATTTTCACTCCAGAATAATAAATTTACACAAGAAGAACTTTATTTGTTTAAGTAGTTTGGTTATCGTTTGCAGATAAATAGAAGGTGAAGGGCGTTAATTCATTTCTGCGCTAGATTTTATTAAAACTCAGGTTTTTTATAATTAGAGATTTGAATTTTTATAGAGTCTGAAGAATCAGTACATTTGTAATCTAGCAGAGTAACTTAAAAGAAAGGTGTAAGCTATGATTATGATCACAGACTGAGGATTTTCTCACGTGTCCAGTGTTTGTGGCCATGTTATCACTTATAAACATTTAATTTCGAAGTAATAAGATATGTAATCTATTTCCTATTAGGGATTTATGTGTAGTAAATTCCATCGAAATTCAGCATGAAGTTGTGGTTCAGCAGGAGAATATTCATTGACCATCCAATTAGTCTAGGGCTCAAGTACTGACCGGCACACGCCTTTACATCTCAATGAACAGAGAGGGGATAGGAGTGAGGCTAGTAACCCCATCCTATAAAAATAAACACTATTGCCACTGTAACTCCAAAGCTCACGCTTTAAACCTTATGTTCCACTGGGAGCTCAAAGAAATGAATAAAATAAACATGAATTTAAGAACCACTGAGATCTGAAGAGCTATAAATGAATACTTTCTCATACTTTGGGATTATTCAGTGGTGAGAACTTTCAATCTTTGATGCGTTGTAGTCTGAAATTTTATTATCATCGCTTGCTGACTGAACTAATTATCACCAATTCTAGACTTTCCATTTTTAACTTACTTTGGGCAAACTGGTTTGTTCTAAAAATAGTAATGCTTACCCATAATATCAGATAATTATTGTTTTCTTTGGCCAAGTGATTGTGATAGGAATGTCAACCTTGGTGTAGTGGATATATACTATAGAGTATAGCATAATACCTGCTGGTGGTCTTGCTATTCATTTCACACTGATTAGATCAAGGTAAGTCAGAAAAAACATCCAATGAGTACTTCCCAAGTTTTGATAGCTTTTAGTTTATTTATACTCATGATTAATCTCCCACTGAAACCTCATTACTGGACGAACAACTGAGATAGCGCAGAAGTGATTTTCAAAAAATGGAATCGATAGCATAGAAAACAACAAAACCACTTACGAACCACACTGAGTATGCTTGTGTTCGCAACTGAAATAAATCTAAGTCTATAATAAAACGTCTTGGGTGTATGGTGATAATGGCGAATAAGAAAGGGGGTGAGGAAACAGATGACTAGATGACAAGAATAAATAAAACAACAGGAAGATTGGCGGTATAACCTAGGCATTACAGTATGAACAACAAACGACTACTGAATTTGTTTTAATCCAATAGACTATTATTACCCCTAAAAATTGAACCAGATTTCATTTTAAAACATCCTATATTTTTTCTTTTTTTTAGTAAAAGAACATAATCACCAGAGGAATGAGTTCTTGTTTTGCTTCTTTAAGCGTGTTTACTTACCCTGCTCAAAATTATGCGATAATTAATTAGTAGTTACTGGTTAGACTAAAGCTGTGACATGGTTTTGTTTACTGGAAACCAGTATCATCCCTTTACCACTGCAATCATAAACATTAAGAGTTTTGGGAATATGAAAATCAAGAGGATGTTTATTGAAAGTTTCTACTTACGAAAACTATAAATAGCTAGTTTGATGTCATGAAATAAAAAAATCATTTTGTAGGATGATATTATTGTAAACAAACAGTAGTCAGTAAACAGTTATCTTTACCATGCCTGGCGTGAAATCGTCAATTAATTTTCCTTCGATGACATTACCGTATACTTGTTTAGTTCTGTTTTTACTGCCCTATACTCCAGAGGAATTGCTGATCTGCCTTTTGTTTTCAGAAGGAAAGCTGTATTTTTTGATGGCTTAAAAGCTTTACTACTTGTGCAGGTATCGTTTTTCCAGAAACTTTCAACACAGGTTTTGTCATGTTTCAATAAACCATCTTCGTAAAACTTCCGTTTCAGTTTGGTCAGCAGTGAGAAGGGAATTTCCTTTCCTAAGACGGATTTCTCCATGAACCGACATCACTGGGAATCACTTTAAGTTTGTGAGCGTTGGACGACCGTTTTCTTCTACGTTGGAATGTTTCAGCATTGAGCAGCAGTGACCCAACAAGAGGGCAAACTCAGAACCTTAAGAATACGGGGTGATCAATTCAATGTTCAGTCACACATTCGAAATGCACCTGTCAGTGAATTTTGGCTTTTTTATTTCTCTGAATAACCCCTCTGCCAGGTCACTGATGACTACCAGCGCACATACCCGGATCTCCAGACCTCATTGATAGCTGAATTCTACTAGAAATTCGATAAATTTAGGCTGTAGCTGGTCACCAGTGAGAAAAGGATTAATTTAAAATGTTGGTTTACTTCTCCCTGAGTGAAATTAAGATCAGGGACATACTTAATATACACTGATTATCGAACAGCATGTTTCCTTTTCATCGGAATAATCATTATTATTCCCTTGGTCTCCGAGTGTAACATAGGGCTTCAACACCGCACCTCCTCTTTCCTCTATTTCCTGCCGTCCTCTTCAGCTGTGTCCAAGATTGCTCATAATCTCTCGTCTCCTCTCACGATCTCCTGCGTGTCACCCTCGCACTGACGACCCACACATCGCTTCCTATTGGGATTCCAGTCGAGTGATGGCCTGGTGAGAGATGTCATTCGATAGCCTCCTCAAATTATGTCCGATCCATTTCCATTTTCCCCCACATATTTGTTGAACAGTCAACTCTTGCTTGTTTTGTTGCTAGAGTCAGTTGCTCAACAAATATGTTGGAGGCCATCGAGTGAGATCGCGCGACAGGCCATCACTCGAGTGAAATCCCAATTTGCCGGTCGGAATATTTATTCTTTTAAACAAATATCCTGTTTATATCTATTTCGAAATGTCTGGGTGCAATCTGTTTGTATCTCATGCCTAGTAATGATGTAGTACTCTCGCACTTTTCAGACATTCACTTTTATAAGTAGACCGATGTCTGCTGGCCGTAAGACTTTTGTCTCAGAGAAGAGACACTTTAAACATTGAGGATGCTAAGTTACTTTGTGAAGTTCTGTTGCCGACCCTACATTTAGGAAAAATACTGATAGCCTTATTATTTGCTCAGTTATTATTAGAATGCTTTTTGATAATGGTTAAAAAGATATGAACAGTTGCCAGTTGATGTCTGTACAGACTGAGCTCATGTCATCCTTAATCAAAATCCCAGCAATAAAAATTTATTTAAGAGAAATGTCACTTCTTTGATATTATTATTTATTTTATTATTATTAATTTTTTATTACACCTTGATTCCACATTGTATTTTTGGTACAAGTATGGAATTTTCAGAATGTGATATCGGTAGCCCAAATTTTGCAGGCCGACCATAGATATCAGGTGTTCGTCGGCAGGGGATCGAACCCCGGACCGTGTGTATGGTAGGCGAGCGTCCTAACCACTGTGCCACCGACGCATTTAGGCCGTTACAGAATAATTTAATTTGATAAAAACACATAGTGGTATTTTTACGAGTTGATGACGGATTGATATCAGCTAGAGAACCATTGAAAACCAGGGAGTACTGGACACCTGTTTCATAGTTTGGGAATCATCGGCAGTACCTTCCCGCCGGGGTTCGAGCCCAGAACCTTCCGTGATTAACTCGTAAAAACAAAAGTAGCCCTTACAAACCAAAACACAGTGATATATTATTATTTCCCCAAAAATTTTAGAGCACAGTTTTCATTTTCATGAAAGAGGGTGGTGATAAAACAGAGTCTCTTCACTTTAATATACAATTTAATAATCAAAATCATATCAAAGCTTTGATGATATTTTTCGAGGACACTTGGTTACTAACTTTTATGTGAAAGTGTTATTTTTTTAAATGTACATAAATATCTAAAAATGATATGGCTTCTGTTTTCTTGATACTTTCTTTCTATTAGTACAAATCAGTGCAAGGCAAGTACGTCTGGATTAATGTGACAAGTGAGTGCTGAGTTTCAAGAAATGGAGTGAACTCACATGATCAGTAAAGATATAACACTCAATCCTTTGGAGCGTCAATTTGCAAGTGACTTCGGCATAAAAGAAACTATACTTATTCGCATATTTATAGTTTCAAAAACATTAGTAAAATAATATGATCTTAAATACTTTGACATGGCACATTTTCAAACTAATTTGCACAGTTAAAACTTTGTTAGTTACTGGATGACTTTTCAGACACAATTTTGCTTTTATAGTCAAATGAAAGTAAGCTAACAAGATTAAAACATGTTATTTAATGTTTCATGTCACTTTCTATATTGTGCCATAGGGGGACACAATTTCAGATGTGTTTAAACTGTACTTCAAACCTTAAATATGGAATTTCATTCATTTTTATCGGGATTTTTCTATAGTGAATGTGAATTGAATATCTGTTCTTCATCTTTTTAATCTTTATCCATGTAATCAGAATTCTGTTTGCATTCTTTATTTTGGTATGAATTAAAGGTGACGTCATTAAAAAGAAGCTTAATAAATATTCATTGACAGGTAGTTTCCTTCATATAAATACACGCAGGCAATTATTCTTTTCTCCTTCATGAACATGATAGAATGGTGGCGCGTTGTTGTGAACTAGTAAACCATCAGAAATCATTGTAATATAGTTGTCAGAAAGCAATTCTTAAGGTGGTGTTTAAGTGAACACTTTTAAAATAAAATAGAACATATTTGAAATAAAAGTCTTGATTAAGCCTATGTTATTCACCTTTTAGGTTAACGCATGAAGAAGGGTTATATTCAGCGAGAAAGAGATAGATTTTAAAGTAACAATGAAAAAGATGTGCTTTCAAATTCTCTGAATGATTATTCCGGAAACTCATATCTGTATTGAAAGTAGAGTCTTTAAATTAGAATTAATGCAAGAACAGTTGTGAACGTGGCACACTAGCAACTTCCGGTTATTTGTTCTATGCCACGTTGATTGAGTTCAAACATTATTCATGCTAAAAAATGAGTGGTTTAAAAAAACTATGGTTACCAGTGTTAGTTGAACTTATAGAGGGAAATTTTAAATCTTTTATGAAATAATATATGAACTCACTGTAAAGTTGATAAGAATTTCCCCAGGGAGATGAAACCTTGGCATGAAGAAACTGTAACTTATTGTTCCGTTGGTTTAACTGTAAGTTTGTTTCAATAAACTTATTAGCTTTTTCAGGGTCCTGCTGACTTGTAAAACCTGGTCGAGTGATTAGTAGATCAACGACACTGTTTTCTTCTTTAGAAGTACTAATGTTAGTCATGTTGTAGACGAAATGTATGAACAATGCTTTCATTTCACAAAATTTGATTTGCACTACTTGCATCAGTGAATGAGGGTTTGCTGCATCATATAATATCTTTGTGTTGATATGAAATCCACCAAACGGACTAGACTTTGTTTTCGTTAGCGAATCTGAGTTCGATAATTTGGAATTTTCACTCTCCAAAGCGTTTACGTGACTATTATGTGAGAGGTAGTCCGTTCTTCTGAACAGGATAAGTTATTTTAAATGAAAAACAAGTAATGGTATATGAAAGAATTTGGATAAATAACTGATAAATATAGAACATTTGTATCACCACGTGGAAAAAAGACAGCGAAGATCTAAATTGCAAAAAATATTCCACACACTGAAAGGAGTAAGCTAATGTTTGGCAGAAAAGAAAACTAAAACATTTTTGTATCCGTGATTAACAATACTTCATTCTGACCTTTGAAGGCTTAGTTAGAGAAGATAGGTATGCAGTTATAGTGTTGTCATTAAAATCCCTAGGGTTTCGAGAAAGCTATATGACTATGCAAACAGATTTCCCAAACTTGAACACTAATAATTTTAAATGTCCACATGTATTATAAATAGGAGATTTTTAATTATAGGTTAAAATAGCTTTGAGTGTATTTGAATCATTCTGAGTGGATTAAGTTATCCAAGTAAAATAAAATGACCGGAATATCTTGTAAAAGTTTTATCTATCTTCCTGATATGAACTCTATTTATAAAATTCATATTACCCTTTTGTGCATGACAAAATTAAAAGGATAACAGCAAAACAATTTACTGTGTTCCCCACCCATCCCTGGCAACTAGTGACTTACGTATTGCTGAAGTACTTTCATCAAGAAAATAGCTTAAGTACTATCATGACTATGTGAAACGTTGTTAGCATTCTGGATACTAGTAGTATGCAGGTGCTTGATAGAGTTGCGTTTTGATTGGTCGGAGGATTTCCTCATGAGCTGCATGGAGTACTGGACATCTGTTTCGTCCTACACTTGAACTCTTCGGCAGTACTCACCCACCACCAGGGTTCGAACCCAGGACCTTCTGGCTACAGGGTGAGGTGGCTCATAGACTATTAGGTTTCTGGGATTCCACCCTCTGTCAATTCATGACATAGCGCGACCACTTCGTAATGTCTGGATGGATGAGTTACCGCCTCACCTTCAACCTGCTACACTTTAGTGGTCACGGTTTTATTTTTCCACTAAAACACAAACTACACAGTATCTTTCAGGTTCTCAATCTAAAAGATCTGTCACCTAGATCATACGTGGAATCCCATTATTACAAATATACAACGCACAAGTTTAAAAAATAACACATCACTTGACTGAGGACTTCTGATAAACATAAGTCTTCCATACTTAGTGTGAAAAGGATAACACCTGATTGTTTTTTCTAGAATTCGCTATATACCAGGGATATATCATTCTGTTACTTATAAATGTTTATAAATAACCTTATACCAATTAATTAACAGTGAAAATAATTACTTGTATAATGCAACAAGGGATGATGACAACTTTTCATGAAAACTCCATGAGTTTAGAAGTAACCAGTTAAGTGAAGGAGTATTTCATCAGTTGACTCTGCAGTGAATTCCTGCGATTTCTATTTTCCTCCACTTCCAAGTAATTAAGACGCCAGTAAAGTGGAGTATTAAGGTTATATACAAAATGGAAACAAATGCGTCGTGAAAATAAACCAGGAAAGAGAAAATGGTGTATTTAAGCGGAATATTTATGCCTAACTATTTGAATTTTTAATGAGGTGACATACAGGAAAACTGAAAAGTTAATAATATAAAAGTGTATTCTGTAGAAATTTTCTTGAATATAACTGTAATTCGTCTCATTAGTGTGTATTACTTTCACGAACTTTGCAATAAATTATTTCCAAATACACAAGTGGTTGCGGTACATTGACATTTGCCGGAATTTGTGTAAGTACAAAATGATTTATTACTTTGTGTGTTAGACACTGGAAGAGTACTGTTGACGCCACGAAAAATTCGAAGCTCAGGAAGGTTATGGGTGCCTAGCTCAACAACTAGAATAGTCCTGTGGTCTCCTGTTCTCAATGGTCCTTTAACTGAAAATTATAAATAGCACCACTCTGAAACTTGGATACCATTGGTTTGATTTCTCTTTATTTTTGTGACGGTGGTATAATTTCCGTAGAATCTGAACCGGGTGTTCCTCTTGGATGTATTCTTGAGTGATTTTATAAATACACCTTTGGTTATCTTACTCCTTTTTTCTGCTATAATTAGTTATTAGAATTATCGCTTCGTTCCGTTCCGTTGCAAGGTTGGGTGTGACTGTATTAAGTGCACATGCCCGAGATATTTCCTAGAATCATCCTTAAAATTTCTGAAGTCTCCTCTTTTCAAGATAACACTACAGATATCTCCTTTAAATCAGCGAATTATGCTGAAAAAAGTAAACACTGTTCGGGCAAGTTTATGTATACACACTTAAAAAGCCAGAAACTTTCGGGTAGAAATTCGCTCAACTTCAAGGCTTATTAGAAAGAGCTTAAAGTGCTCAGTAGGTCAGATAAATTAAGTGGTAAATCAAGTTTACAGTATATGGTATTGTGTATTTCGAAAAATGATTTGCTTGACCTATGAACATTAATTTCCATGCAGATGGAGATTTTTCGGAAAGATGAATACATTTAATCATTATAAATAACAGTTTGCCGAGGTCATCGTATTCATCTGGTCTTGCAGTCATAGCTTTACTTTCCTATCTGACATTGATAATGTTTACGTTCAATTAAATACAGGGTCTAAGAAGAAGATCTACTGAATTTACTGCGAGTATTTCTAAAAACCGAATAAAATAAAAGAACATCAAGACCCATTTTCCAACTTACCGCTAAGAAGAACGTATATACTAAGGTACCATACATGGGTGATCATACTGGTTTAGTAGTTAAACAAAGGTTGAGCACTGTAGTTACAAAGACCTTTTATAGAATTAAAATCTGAACAGTTAAGAGCCTAAAACCTACATACCCGTGTAAGTCCTTGGAACATACGAGAAATAATATCACATCCCCCTGTATCTACCGATTTAAATGTACTTGTAGTCACACATACATAGAGGAGATTCACCCATCTCTTCAAGTAGGAGCGTCAGAGGAAACTCGAATCCGCTGAATCCACTATTGGTTGGATCAGACCACCTAGCTCCTCTGTTGGAAAACATATTGTAGAGAAATGACATGAAATTAATGTTCACATATCTTTTAAACCTATCTATAGAAAGTGTATGGAGCGTTTCTTGAACATTATGGAAGCCCTATCCATTAGAAAGTTTGAACCACCTTTATGCGTTCAGAAACAATTCGTCATCACATTAAAGCTTCCTTGGCAAACTTTTGATACCAAAGAAGATAAACTGTTACTTCCCTTCTTTGGTTTATTGATCATCATGGTCTTTCAATATGGTTTTTTAGCTTTATCTATGTCTATTCTACCGCTCCTTAACAGTTTATTATTTTCTTATATATATATATATATATATACATATATTCCTATAATAAGTACATGTATAATCAGACTGTTCCAAATGTGTTGCGCAAACACACTACATCATTCAGATAGACTTCGTCTTATTATTATTTTGTCAAAAATATAAGGGGTTTATTTTACGAGCAAAACATTAGTGGTTGGACTTACGTGTATTTGAACAATTCATAATTATCAGGCCAAGCTTCAGAAAATAATTCAAACAATAAATAATTGTAAAGTTTAGACAGTTTAACGGATTCATTCAGCTGTAAATTAAAATCAATTTGCCTATCTGACCGGAAACCAAAATGTTCATGAAATCCACTAACAAGTTGTATGCTTTGAGTAATGTACAATTTTGAACTAAAATTTAAAAAAAAAAAGACATTTCGTTTTAATCAGTACAGGTTGTTTGTTTCTGCCTTAGTTATTCTAGTAAAAAGAAATTAAATTTTATGTAGTCATCTACTTGTGATTTTGATTCATCCCCTCCGCCATAGAATTAAATGTTTTTGCAAGAAAGTAGTAAGTCAATGACATTAAATAAACTAAATGTTTTTGAAAGATATAGAATAAATGCCGTAAGAGCGAAAATTAATCAAGCTTCCATATGACATATGTCTGTTTCTTTCCAAGTGAACTTTTATTGAAGTGTAAAGTTTTGCCCGACTTCAGAAGAAATGAACTCGAATGTGTCATTAGAGCTGGCATTATGATTTATGGGTGTGAGAACAAATGCTTGCCTATGGTTTTTGCTGGTTGTGGCACTAAAACCATAGATTGTTAGAAGGTGGAATTCATGGGTTCGCAGTGACTAGATGGTCTACGAGCTTGCCTCGTAACCAGAATGCGCTGGATTCGAGCCTCAGTAAGTGCGTACTGATGCAAACCCCTGCAGTAGTACGAAATGGCTGTCCCGTTCTCCCTGATTTTCAATGGTTCTCTAACTGATACCAATTCGCTACCAAACTTGCTAATTATATGATCATGACATTCAAATTGAGCTTGAAATATTTAGATGCATTTATTGTGCTTCTCTCTTGCAAGTAGAATAATTCATTTCCTTCAACAGATTTCATGAAGTCATCAAAAGTATCACATTTTATACAATTTAATTTTTGATTTAATTTTACTATAGCTTGACTCCACACCGTATTTTTGGTACATGTATGGAATTTTCAGCATGTGATATGGGTAGCCCAAATTCAGCAGGCCAACCATTAATATCAGGTGTTCGTCGGCCGGGGGTCGAAACTTTGACCATCTGCATGGTCCTAACCTCTGTGCCACCGACGCAAAAATGGTTCTATTCATTTAGTGAATACTTCAGATTAATATGCACAGTGTACGACCGTATTGGTTTAATAAAAATAAGTCTTGTCATTGGTTTGTACTGATTTATTCCCGATTATAATTAAAAAGACACTTCACAGTCCACAGACAGTTTGTATTGGTGGTGAGCTTGTTATTCAGTAACAACTTTTGAGGAAAATTAAATTTATAACCAGTTCCAGGCGTCAATATTTTGTGCATTCTCAGTATCTTCATTGTTGCGTTTTTATTTGCGTGACTTAACTAATTTATGCTGACTCACAAGCTAGGAAATATTATAATATTGTCTCATTTGGTGTCTAAAGCAGTGGACAGAGCCTTTTTGTTATGTTAACGGATATTCATTGTTCACATATGGCTTTCAGTTCCTAACTTTTGTGAAGATATATGGTTCCATCTTTTCTTGAAACACACTAATTACTCCCAAATCGAACTCGCAAGCAGAAATGCATCGTTCTACATATTATTGATTAATTAATATGAGTTTTGTTTGCTAATCTGATTGGAGTGATCTAAGCGCCGGACATCTATTTTGCTCATCTAGAGCCAAGCTCATCAGCAGTGACTCGGCTTAGAGAGCCAAAGCAGCTTAAACCACCCGAATCCCAGCTAGTTACTTGGGTGAATTTATAATACATTAAATCAAATTCGCAATCTGCCAACTACATCTTGTTAAATCATATATCCACACTATTCCCAGTTGAGTTGTTTATTAAAAGTTTACACGGAGACTACTGGATTCTATTTGTTTCCAAATTGCAAAATCAGATTCTTTCTTTACCGAGATTTAAAGCGAACGACCGAATTGACAACTTTTCAAATTTTGTGATAGTAAAAGCAAGCTGACTTAAATGGAACCAGTAATTGTATGCCGTAGTAGGGAAAAAATCACTAGGATTCCAGATCATCCAGATTTTCAAAAAAAACAAAAACAATTTAAACATAGAGAAAACTTTAGATTGACCTAAAATTGAACACTTGTGGTACGATCGTTGGTTGTAGTATGCTAACTAGTCATATTTACTGTATATCACACCTGGACTAGTTCCATCAACTGCGTTTGTAATAGTTAGTCGACTGATCTGAAGGAATAACTAATGTTACAACTTTAAAGGATATTTTCTGATCAATAAATACTTTGTACATTAGTAATATTACAGTACTTATGAAGAGAAGATTTTGGTCTTTGAGAGTTTTCAAAGAAGTTCTCCAGCAATACAGTGGAACAGCAAGTATTTAAAGCATTGTGTCTCTTTTCTCTAGTCAGTTATGTAGTGTAAAGTTGCAGAATGGAACGGAATTACTTGAAAAATGGTAGGATTCTATTGACAGGATATTTGTCGTTAGAGAACAATGTCCACTTAGACTGTTATTCTGTCTACCTAATCCATATTGTTAACTGAGCCAACAGATTGGAGCTAAGCAGTCTGTTTTTTGCAAGTCAAAAATTCGCTTCTAGCCACTCCAGGACTCAGTGATATTTTGACCTTGTTGTACCTAGTGTTGAGCTGAGTAGAATAACTCAGAAGACCAAAGTTATTCATAGAGTGATTTCTCTTTCCTTATCAATTACTTTCTAATGAACAAGCATTAATTTTTTTTTATTTATCATAATCACTGTATGACAAATGAATGTTTCTTTTCAAGGGGTTATCACAAAAAGTTTATTCTTTTCATTTAGCCCTTGTGTAATTGTTGCATGAAAATTAGTTTCTTGAAGCTGACATTTTTTAATGTAATAGTTAAGTGATCTGTCTTGCTGATTAAACGTTATCACTGTTTATTTTATCCGTTTCGAACCTAACGTTACGATACATATCACCTTAAGTTTGTTACAAGTTTTTTTTTCCATTCTGTAGTGGTAACAGTAATCTGAATGCAAAACCCCAAGAATCAAGGAATATGGATTCCACACAGCCGATTTGAAGACTTGTCAAAGTTGGAGATGAAGCCATTTGCAGTATAATCTTAATGATAAATGTGCTGCAAGAATTCGGAAGTAATCCTGTCCATTGAAGTGATAACCTACTCATTGTTTCATCAGAAAACTAGCAGCAGTTCACTTAAGAATTAATATAGAGTGTATCTGTCTCACAAACAGTGAAGACTCCGAACTTTATTATAACTCACGTCCTTTAAAAAGATTTTACAGTTGATTACTGGTCTGTTATTAGCCTTGACTTATGTTGATAACATTAAAGATGCACTGCAGTCCAGATTTTAATGTTTTTATATATAATTTTAATTTTTGGCACTTAGTGAATCAGTTGGATAATAAAGAGACTATTCAGCAGTACAAATACTAGTTGCTGACGAAAGAGAAATCATTGACTAGTGAGGTAGGATAAAATGTAAGTGCATAAAAAGCTATCTATCACCAAGCTCAAATCAAAATTTAAATAGAGAAAAGTAACCACCAAATAAATGATCTTACTTATGTTTTATAACTGCGGAAAACAGGTACGGATTTAGCATGTATTTTCCTTGTAGGTAGCTATTGACGTAGGATATGGCGACTATCGTCGACTTAATATAAATGCCACTGATTAAGGGAAACGAAAAATGAGACTGTTGCAGTGCTTTAGCATGACTAAGTCTGAGTGGTGTATGAGGACAGTGCTGATCTGAAAGAAACAGCCTCGAAAATTCATTGCTGATATTCAATGAAGTGAATACAGTTTCGTCCAACCACTTGATGAAAAGTGCATCATATTTCTCCGGTAGCTACATTAAAGGGAATTTGAAAGAGAAAAAATTGAAACGAGTGGTATTATGTTTAACTTTTCTAATAACGACTTATAAGAAATATGAGAGATGATAAAAGCAATTCAAATTACACTGAGACATTAGGCATACTTCACTGATCGCATGATGACTAAATGCCTAAAGCATGTGATGCTTGCTTTAATTTTTAAGTGTCCTAGCTGAAACATTAAATTGCAGAATAATTTGGATTTTTATGCAGTCATGTTATTCATTCCGGAGCAGTATATGATGGTGCTACTTTTAGTAATCATTGTGGGTGGAATTTTCATTTCGAAGTTAAAAAAAAATATGATTTATATATGTCATTCATTACTTAAGCTACATTATTGGTCCAATAGCAGAATGTCCACTAGCCATGCAGGAGTTCCAGATTCGATTCCCAGGCGTGAGTACCAAAAAGAGAGAAGGTTAGGGACAACACCAGTAACCGCACCATGTAAAAACAACATCGCTACTGAAACATCAAAAATGCTTGGAACCGTATGCTTTCCTAGAGACTTAAAGGTTAGACATAAACTTTTCTAGTATTTTATATTTAATAATTTCATAAATAAAAACATTTTTATTCCGAATTCGAAAATTGGGTTTAATCAAGTAAAAGAAATGTCATCAGTAAAAAAAGGGCTTAAAAAAATTTATATCCTAGTTCAGTAGGATATGACTTTTATGACTTCCGAACATCCTTCAGGAAAACAATATCGGCTAATTATGATTACCATCACGTGCAATAGAATGCGTGTTCTACAGGAATATTTTAGTGGTCAAACAATATAGGAAATTTAAAAAAGGACAACATCAGAAATTTCTTACTTTAATCAGTCATCTACAGGTTAAAAAACAACAAAACTCTCGGTAACGGCTTATCAGTGTAAAAATATCTTTGTTTATCCTCAATTCTTCTTTGATTGTCAATCTAAGATAATTTATGACTGGTGAAGTAATGTTAGAGATTCCTATCGAATGACATGACTTCACAACAATTTCAGAAAGTGCAGACTTTTTAATTAATACAAAACAATAAAAAAAGATATAGCACTTTCATGAGTATGAAACATTACCAGTTTGATAAATTAAAAGTCTGTCAGAATGGAGAATTTTCCTCCAAATAGATTATCTTCAGGTTCTTACAAAGGAGAATACTTTTTATCATTATAGCAATCTTTTTGTAGCATTGGAATACGATGGCAATTCTACCAGTTCCATAAAGTTTACAACATCAGTTTGATCCATAGACTGTGTAGAGAAGGAACTTTATACCATCGGGGGTATTCCAACAGAAAATGGATATCCTCATAAATTTATATAAGCCAGCATAGGTTACAGCAGTCTCAAACAAGTACTTGCAATGCTGGGGGAAAAGCCGATTTTTTGCATCGAGAAATAAAAATAATTAACTCTTATAGAGATTCTATCTTAGCTTCTAACCACAGTAAAAAAAGATGGCTTTCTACTCTGATGATCTATTCTTAGCCATCAGTCCAATACCTACAATGAAACTAAAAGAAACCTACATAGGAACTGTGATCAAGTTTTGACCAAATAGTTCCAGAATAAGTTGGCGTCGAGTGAGAAGTAGAGATATGTGAAAATTACATTCGTAAAGTGTCAGCGAAATTGAAATGTGCAATTCCAACGTCTCGTTCGCCAAACTCGTCCGAACCTCTTCAGGGAAATTAATGCAGATTTAAATAAAAAAAGGTTTACATATTATATATATATATATATATATAACACCTCTTGTTTATAAAAACTTCGTCCAATCATCTGAGTCTTGAAACAGGCACCAAAATATAATAAACAGAAGTGCATGGACTGTGATCAAAATATCACCCCAGATTTACAAATATCAGTCAACTTTTGTTAAACACTCTCAAACAGTGTGTACTTTTGCATCAGATTTTAGTGATTATGCTCGACTTAAGTTCAAGGTTGTAGATAACTGAATATGAAAAACTGAATAAAAAAACTGCACATAAGAAACCTCTATTTATTAAGTTACAATTTAATGGGGACTTATCTAGTGAGATTCTATTCCAAAGACTTTCAAGGAGCATACGTAGAACATTTTATGCAGCACACCTATGTTAGTCATTCTCTAGCCGACGAATAATTGGGACGCAAACGAAGGATAAGCTTGATAGTTTTGCCACATCTATGTGTATTTATCAATTCAACTGCACCTGCGGTGACAGTTATATTGGGCGTACTACTAGACAGCTTAGCCAACGTGTTAGTGAACATCTCCCATCGTGGTTTGGCAAAGGACAGACAAAAACAATCCGTAGCTCAATTCTGTCACATCTAATTGATAGTGGTCATGTAGTCGATAAAACGAAGGCCTTCAAAGTAATTCATCGTATCCCTCCGAATCTTTCTAATAGACTTCGTATTCGTCTACTGCACACAGCTGAGGCGATAGGCATTCGAACTATTAAACCTAAACTATGCATTCAAAAGAAGTTCGTGCAGCCATTATCCCTCCCATGGCCTAATAAGACATAACCAACGAAAGACTTCTACACCACCCTTTATTTATATTTCCAACCCCTTTCTTATCATCCCTTAATCTTATCTTATATTCATTATAAACGTGTTTCATTTCCTTCCCCTAAAATCTAACATTACGTAATCGGTTCATTTGTTTTTACTAGCCTTTATCGACTACTTCCACCTGAACAATTGTTTGTTTAATCATACTGTTTTTCATTATTCATGTTATCACAGATTGCCTCATTTTTTCATCCTTATTATTGATAAGACCACTATTATTATTATTACTATTTTTAATATTATTATTACCACTATTATGACTAACTGCACAATTTATATTCACCATCGTATTATCCTATAGACAAAACACCATGATTGGTTTATATCTGAATTTTATTTGTAAACTTATATATATTAGAGTTAAGCCTGATGAGATCTAATTGAAAACAATATTGTTTGCTTAAATGTGTTGTTCTTAAAATATAAAACTTTTATACGATAACGGATACCCTGCAAAATATGTTTAAGTTTAGATGAGGAGAACATATAAAAAAAATTGCCTGCAAACTGTGGAGAAGAAACGTATATACATGACTTCACCGTTTAAAGGAGATCCAGCAACTGAATTACTGGCACCGAAACTTCGAAAAATAATACTATAATATACATTTATTCCTAGTTAAAACATTCTTTGCCGCAACAGTGTGTTTAAATTTCGCCACTCGTTGTATAATTCCAATGCAGGTGAAGGATAAGCTCCCGAGTCTGGACACTTCAATGTATATTTATAAATTTAACTGTTCATGTGGAGACAGCTACATAGGTGGAACGACTCGGAAAGCCTGTCGTCGCCTTCTGGAGTACAGTCGAGCGTGGTTAGGTAGAGGAGACATAAAGTCAGTCAGAGGTTCCATACTGGCACACCTAGTGAATACAGATCACAAGAGTGACAAGAATTCAGCTTTTACAATTATATACAGGGTGACACATCAACTCCCTAGGTCAGTACGCCTTCAGTTCTTATGCCTAGCTGAGGCAGTTCCCATAATGATTTTTCAGCCCAATCTCTGTTTTCAGAAATTATTATTTCCTTTAATTCCTAGAGGAACATAGGGCTTCAGCCGAGCGTCTCCATTGCCTTCGGTTCTCTGCCAACGTTTTCACCCCCTCCAAATCTGTCCACACGCTCTCATCTCCTCTTCACATGACCTCCTCCAAGTCACCCTCGCACTGACAACCAACTCGCCGCTTCCTTTTTGGGTTCCACTCGAGCAATGCCTTGTCTAGTGATGTCACTTGATAGCTTCCTCAGATTATGGCCAATACATCTCAATTTCTTCTTGCCTATTTGTTTCACAATCGGTTCCTGGTTGGTTCGCTCATTGCCAGAGATCCCTGTTGCTGATCTTTTTTGGCCGGCCATCTGATCTTGAGTATTGGGCGAAGACAACTGTTGATGAAGGTCTGTAGTTTGTTTGAGATGCTCTTTATGACGCGCGAAGTCTCTGATCCGTAAAGTAGCACTGACTTCACATTGGGGTTGAAAATCCAGATCTTATTTTTGATGCTGAGTGATGTTGACCTCCACACAGACTTGAGAGTAATGAAAGCTTGCCTTGCTTTTCCCATCCTGCTCAGATATCCTCACCAGTTCCGCCTGTAGTTGAAACAATGCCTCCCAGGTGGTTAGGTAAAGGAGGTTGTTTCTTTCAGGTTCCTCCCATTTATGCTGACTGTCATCTGTTGTTGTTGCTGTTGGTGTTGCCCAGGAACACCTTAAGCCTAGCTGAGGCATAATGATTTTTCAACCCAATCTGAGTTTTCAGAAAAGTCTGTGTAATACCTCTGACTCCCTTTGCCTTGGCCACTAACCTAAAATAGTTATCTCTCACAGTGACACCGGATAATCGAAAATATTATCTTATTATGTTTTTATTTTATTTTTATTGTAATGCTAACTGTATTACCAACATCATGTTGTACTGTTGTTGCACGTTTTATTCTCGGTTTCACAATTTATCATTGTTATTATAGTATCTAATTACTGTGTGACAGTAGTTATTTTCCCCTCTACCAGCATGCACATTCTGTCCACACACTCACTGTCGCCTAGATTATATAAACACGAATGTATTTATCTTATTATTATTGTTATCATGATTTCCTCCACTGTTATCCATTAATTCACATACCTGAACTCTGATTCTATAAAATAAACCATAACTATATTTCAGTGGTTTACATAAAATGATAAGTTTTTGTTTTCTGGTAATATTTCTAGCAAAATTACTGCCCATGATCACACCAGCTGTTAAAAAAAAAACAATTCAAACAGTTGGTGTGATCATGGGCAGTAATTTTGCTAGAAATATTACCAGAAAACAAAAACTTATCATTTTATGTAAACCACTGAAATATAATTATACTTTATTTGATCTATTCCACAATGCTGAAACTTTTTATTGACA